CCTGCAGCACGTGCCAATGCCCGGTTGTTACATGCACACGGTCTTTTCAAAATAAACACAAGAATCTCTCTTTGGTTTTTGCAAAAAAACGACATAAAAAGATTGTTGTTTGGGTAAAAATAACTGTGTACCCGGCTGGAAGCTGTCAGTTTGTCTGAACGTAGTGATGAGTAGATATTGAGATATTTCTCGACATATGTGAACGACAGACGGACATTTCCTCTGCAGACCTTAGCCTGCTAGCGTGGCTAAATGCTGGCTCTAGGGAGCGGATCTTATACCTGTCGCCGTAAATCTCTCGGTGGCGGCCCTCTGTGACCCCCGTCGGCCCTCTGGGCGAACGCTGTCATGTAATATGCACAAGCATCCGCGATAATGGGGATTTACATTTGACCAAAACAAACCTATGCACATATATTAAATGTGTTCCTGTAGGCAAATAGTCGCCCCTGCTGCATGCTCTATAATCGGGTAAAAAATCGTCAGGGAGGTGAAGGGGTCGGGTCACAACAACAGCCATTTCATTACTGTGGCTCAAATGTCCCAGGATGCAATTCAATCACGGGGCGATTATTTTTCCCCAGATTCCACTCTGCGGGGAATTGGCTGTCGTTTGTTGCTGACCTTTTCGCGCCGCGGCCATTTATCCCCAGGAATAATTGTTCAGAGGGTTTGGCCGTCATATCCCTGAGTGCTGCAGCTCGTGGGCCGTCGGCGTGGTGAGCCGCCGCCGATCCTGTTATCTGATGCTCGGGGAAAAAACAAAATACTGATGTGCAGCACACACGTGAATACAGGTCCGCCGTCGGGAGGGCTTTTATCCTCTCAGATTAAAAACAGAGCAGTGAAAGGGATCGTTTTAGTCGTTTCCAACGGGGAATCTGTATTTCTGGATTTGTTCTTAAATGCAATTTTCAGGTTTTTAACACAAGCATAGAGTTATTAAAAAGTAAATACATTTAAGCCTGAACAAGTTCAACACTGAAAAATGTGTCTAAAAAAAAACACTTTTAATGAGCTGTGCATAGAGGCCTTTTCCTTTTAAAAGTAGAATATTAAAGAAGATTTAATATCTAATTGCATATTTTGTTTAATGAATAGAGAAGCGTTGCTTGTATGTTTCGAGACTGTTAGATTTTTGATGTTGATATTCTTTGTGTACAGCAGTGTAACCTTTGTGTATCGAAGTCTCTGATTGTTCTTTGTATTTTGGGAAATACCATTTTAATCTATGATTTTAACGAATGTTTGAAACTGACCCCTCTTCAAAAGTACACTAACATTTGTTTTTAACTATGTGCTATTGATTGTATTTTTTTCTTTCTCACAAAAAATATGATGAGTTAAAATATGATATATTATATAAATAGAAAATATATAAAGAAATGAACGTGCATATATACTGTATATGTGTGTGTGTGTCTAAAGGAGAGTAAGATGTTGTTTTAAACTGTGGTTGATTTTGAAATATAAGAAGGTTTGCACATTTTATATCATAAAAGGCCTAAAGAAAAAAGGAAAATAGTCCACATTACCAAACATCCACACGTCTAAGTCAGCTGGCTGTGAACCATCAATAACTATTCAACCACCAGAATAAAGGACTATGGCTTCTTTGATTTCCTTGTTTGATCTGTGACTCATCGTGTATTCAGCTGAGAAAGACGCCCACATAAACCGCCATCTGTTTTCCTTCAGCTCTCTCCGGGCCGGCTGTTCCTTTAAGGCTGCACTGGCCCCTCAAAGTGTGAATAATATTCAGTAAGGAGTAACGCTTAAGTGGGAAAGCTTTTAGCACATTATCCACTGGCAATTGCAAGCGAAATCTAATTTGCCCGCGCAGGTCTCTTATTAAATATCTGCTGCAGCTGGATTTGCATTCAGGAGTCTCCTAATGGGTTTAGCTGCTCCGCAGATCTCTGAGTCGGTGTTTATGTGAGCCTCCATCTCCAGAGGAGAGGGAGAGTGACATTGAGGACGAGAGGTGATCTCTCTGTCTCCACACACACACACGCACACACACACACACTCACACACACACACACACACACACACACACTCACACACACACTTAAGCCTTTAGAAAACTCCCAAGTCAGCGTTTTGGAAACACGATGCCTTCAGGTTCTCTTTGGAAATATTCATTTCTGTCTTCAATACATCATTTTTAAACTAGTTGTATTTGTTTACAATTTACAGGAGCAGGACGCAGTGTATGTTGTTGGTCACTGTATTAGTATTGTAACGTCATGTTTGCATTTTTCAAAAGCTTACTTTACAGTTTGATATTTTGTAGTACTTCTACTTTTTTTGTCTTTCTATCTTCGTTGGAACCTTGTGTAAATAGAGCGGCTTGAAACACTACAGAACTGAGACCCCGTCGACAGAAAGAAGTGGACGAAGTCACTGTGATGTCGGCAAATGAAGTACGGACGACCATTTTCGATTCTCAAGTTTGACGTTTGTTTCTGTCGACACAGAAATACTCTAAATGCTGAATGAAACAGTTTTAAGGGACCCCTTTGTTCAATTACACTTAGATCCAGCAAAAACACACAATGTGAAAATCTGTTAGACCACCACAGACAACTTAAAACATTCCCTGCAATACGGTCTATTTAACTTTAAATGGACCATAATTAAATAAATGAACATCCTGCTGTATTGAGGAAGACTTGGAAATACAAAATTGAGACCATAAACTCATGTTTGCAAGGTTTACTGAGGAAATAAAAAGGGAGAAGTCGAGTCATTTTCTCATAGACTTCTATGGAACCAGAGTGGTCGCCCCCTGCTGTTCAGTAGAGAGAATGCAGACTGAAGGAACTTTGTCACAGCCCCACTCATCAGACACAGACGTTTCCACCTGAGTAGTACTTTAATGAAATAAAATGTATAAATCAAATCTCAACCTTTGGCTGCCAATTTCATCATTTTGCGACAGGCTGACGGTTCCTTTCGACATTTCAGTTATCAGTTCCGTTGGGTGCCGTTGCAGAAACGTGCCGATTAACCTTTGACAACGTGACAATCAAAGACTCGCTTTATTTATGAGATCGGATTCAGTTCCCAGTACGTTAAAAGGGAAAGAAATTTGAAAAAAGTTGTACGATCCGGCCTGAAAGATTCTTCTTTGATACGAAACTGAACAGCAGACCTGTCTGCTGTCACCACTAAACAAACAACGACCCCACAGTTATGCCTCATACAAATAATGTGCATTTCCTGTTTTCACGTGAGACCCACGTGTGTGTCTGTGTGTGTGTGTGTGTGTGTGTGTGTGTGTGTTAAAGATTAGGGGCTCACTGGTGTGTGTCACAGAACGGATTAACCCAAGACTGCTGCTCCTGCACTCAATAAGGTGTGTGTGTGTGTGTGTGTGTGTGTGTGTGTGTGTGTGTGTGTGTGTGTGTGTGTGTGTGTGTGTGTGTAAAGGCATTTCTCACAGTTGCTGAGGGTCTCTCACACACCTCAGACCACTTAATAAGGGCACGAAAGCAGAATCTTTGGTTCTATTTTCACTCTACACATTTATTTTCAACCACATTGACGACTGAGAAACCTAACGTCCATCCGACTTATGGGTTGAAAGATTGAAAGATAATAATTTAGAAACCATATGTTTCTGTGAACCCTCACAAAAGTACAGGCCTGCGAAATCCTTAAGATGACCTTTTTGTTGCTGACATGAGGAGATTGTCGGTGTTTTGTAGTTTATTGCGTTTAAAAAAAGATCCTGCACATACTCTCCGTCACATACACTCACTTCATTATTGATATTTCTGTCCTCAGACCCTCGTCAGGCAAAGTAAACATACATAACAATCAGAGGGGCCCGGCGGGAGCCTTATTGATTTTACGTTATTATCAAGGTAGTTTTCTGAAATTTGTTGACATAACAAAACACAACACGGATTACGTCAGACGTTGTGAATAAATTGACGCGGTGCAATTAATTCATTCGCTCCCTTTTACGTTCCGAGCTTATTGACACAAGAACAATGAGGCCTTTAATCTCACCTATTTTCTATAATTTGGTAAATTTGCATTCTTTTCAAATGGAAGCAATGACGACCATGTTTTGTTGATGTATTTGAATTAAAATACCAGCTCATTGTCCTGCATCACAATGAGCTCAGTATTAATAACCCGAGTGAGAAGAATATTTTTATTTCCCTTTGTTACAGACCTGTGACGCTGCGCTCCAGTGGTACAACATGTTGGCTCAAGTTCCCCTGAGATCCTGAGACCTGCTTTGCTCATGATTTGATTCGGGAAATTCAAAGCAGAAATGAGCACGCTGCATTTTTTTACACAATGTTGAAAGTAGAAAAGGATAAAAGCTCATTTAGGAATATGTTGGATTGCATTGTGCCGTTAAAAAACTGGGCAGGAGGTGATATTCTGTTTGTGACACATATTATGGCAAAGTAGCTAAGAGCGGTTGATTGGCGATCAATATCTTTCAGACACTCGGGTTGGACTCACGTTCTTTTTATTTTTCAAAACAAAGCTCTGAATTTTTCCACATTATTTTTTTGTTTTTGATGCTACAGGACGGAGAAAAGTCAAGCTTTTTATCGATACCTTTCTGCTGCCGTTAATGATCAAATAGCACGTCTCTGGCTCCCGGCGTGATCTCCTGTGAGCTCCGGGGCCCCTCCAAGGGCCCGCGAGAGGGGTACACACAGTAAAATAAAGTTTGTATTTCCCTCCTGTATATTGTGCAATGGGTGCAAAGTTCCCTCACCCCATGTTTATCCCGTCCTACTGTCATCACCACGCTATAGACAGCATGAGGTCATATCTTTGGCATGAAAAAAAAGGCCCCTGACAGCTCCGGGGTTGTTGTTGGGTTTTTTTTTGTGGGGGGTGGGGGGGGGGGGGGTAATTGGCTGCTCACTATCAGGACTGCTGTGGGACAGTGGAGGAGCGTGACGTGGAGGCGCAGGCAGCGATTGGAGGGCGCACCGGGGACTATAAGGGGAGGGAGGATCGGAGCAGGCTGGCGCACATCTGACACCGCAGGGACGCGCAGAAGTCAGTGGAGTTCAGTCCACCTCCGACGTCCTCCACCATGCAGCCGGCGACACGCACGACGCGCCTGTGACGAGTGTTCGCAAAGAGGGGGAGAGTTTATCCGCAACAGCGAGCGGACTGCGCGCAGAGAGACAGATCAAGGACGAACTCGTGCCCGCGTTTTCTCTTCACCCTTTTTCGCCTTCTTCTTCTACGTGGAGTTGAGCATTTCTGTTGGATTTTTTTATTTTATTTCATTTTTTTGTATTTAAAAGGGGGATTATTTTTTGTTGTTGGTCGAAGCCTTTTTTGCCACCGACATGGAGTACACTTCCTCCCCGAAACCGCAGCTCTCCTCCCGGGCAAACGCTTTCTCCATAGCCGCGCTGATGTCCAGTGGGAAGCCCAACAAGGAGAAGGAGACGGAGGAGAACACCATCAAGCCCCTTGGTAAGGATGGAAAATGTGTAATATTAATAATAAAGAAAACTGGATTTAGCTCAACTGGGTTGTGAGACTGCAGCTGTTAAAGTTGTTACAAGCAAAAACAAAAACAAAAAAACCCTGACGAATAACAGAGACGAAACACAACCTGCAGCTGCAGGGAAAATACAATAGGCAAAAGTTAAATGCATTGTCAATAATCCACAAGTGTAAATACACACGGAAAAATAAATAAAGAAATTAATTAGGACAAACTGTCAGTGGTGAAAAACACCAGCGGCCAGGATTCCTAATGTAGCACCTGCAAATAAATATAAATATGTAGCCTAAATAAGGTGACTGATCCCCATAATCCCACAAACAAATATACAAATAACTGTGATTGTTTGAAAGTTAAACTATTTAATAAATATACAATAAAACACGAGGTGTAAAAGTTGAGGATGTGGCCGAAGAGCTCAGTTGACCGAGCCTGAATATTATTTTATTTTCTGCTAAAAAATAAACTTATGTGTTATTTGAATCCGGCATGTGTTGTAGAAATCCACCCGGCGTGGTTGCTGCATCAAATATAGTTATTATTATAATTTATTTTTTTAAGAAGAATAACACACTTTTAGAAGAGTCAGTTCATTTATTTGTATTTGTTATATAAAATCCCCCCCTAACAATAAACAAACGAAAAATTCAGGGTTCAAATATTATTAATCACTCATCATTTGACGTATGGAACAGTGTGGATAATAACAATAATGATAATAACAGAGGGAAATATTCAAATGAAGACTACAGACACTCCCGTCACCAGCATGTATTTCTCATTTCATGTCAATCAGTCTCATATCTGTTGATTTCTGCGTTTGCTTCAACAAACAGAACAATTTGTGGAGAAGTCCTCCTGCAACCAGCAGTCTCTGGCTGACCTGTCCTCTTTGGACGGGCACGGGGACTTCAGCGGGGGCGCGCCCGCGGTGTGCACGGAGCCGCTCATCCCCACCAATCCCGGGATCCCGAGCGAGGAGATGGCGAAGATCTCGTGCAGTTTGGAGACCAAAGAGCTGTGGGACAAATTTCACGAGCTCGGAACCGAGATGATCATCACCAAGTCCGGAAGGTAAACGGCTTCATTTCATGTATTTCGTTCTAATTATTCACATGATTCCCACTCCCATACAATATTATTTAAAAAGTAAATAATAATAATAATAATGCTCTAATGCATAATAATGATGCATAACATTCTTAAGTAGATAAATCGGATTATTTGATGCCAATTTAAGAATATCGAGTGATAAGAATCCTTTTATGACAAAGATGCCTATAAATATATTTCGTTAGAGGATGATTGTTGTCCTGATGTGGCGTTCAGGGTCACCGCCTCGTTTTCAGTCTGCAGCTCTCTGGGAGTTTTCCTCAGACGCACCTGACCTGAAGAGTTTAGTCTCGTTGTTTGATGGATACGCGTCTTAATCTGAGGTTTCGTTGACCTTAAAATCCGGCGGACAAAAGAGCACGCTAAAGGTTACAAGCATATTACGGACACGCACGCGTCCACCACGGCGGGATGTACACATTAATAATAACAAATAATTATTTGATCATAATCTGAAGTGAAAGCATCAAGCAAAGACTCAGATGAGTCACTATAAATACCATATTTCTGCACGAAGTGGCCTACGTGTGAATGGAGGATACGGAAGCAGAGTGGCGCCTATCAAGGACAATGAGGTCATGCAGCTTAAGCAACCTGGGAAGAATTTATTAAATAAAGAATTATGAAAGGTATTTCGATCATTTGAGTCATTTTAGACATCAATTTGGCTAAGCGATAAAAAAAAAATCATTTAGTAATCATTTCTTTTTTAAATTTAAATTGTATTCGTTTTCCCTTCGTCGGAAGTATTCAGTCAAATAAAATGGACAAATAACTGTAGAAAAGAAATGTATTGACTCTTCTGTATTTGTCAGATCAGTCTCCCCTGAGATGGAGGAGATATATGGTGGTGGGGGCGGGAGAGGGATGGGGGGGGGGGGGGGGGCATACTTATTGGATAATAAAAATGCATACCAACATTTACGATAATAATACAATCCCTAACATCACGTGTCACGGCGTCATCAGGAGGATGTTCCCCACCATCCGGGTCTCTTTCTCCGGGGTGGACCAAGACTCCAAGTACATCGTGTTGATGGACATCGTCCCGGTGGACAACAAACGGTACCGGTACGCGTACCACCGTTCCTCCTGGCTGGTGGCCGGCAAGGCCGACCCTCCCCTTCCCGCAAGGTACCCCCCCTCCCCACACACACACATACACACCGTCAGTGAGCCTCCTTATTCATCCACATCGAGAGGCCGCCATGGCCGGAATAAAGACACGTTTCGTCTTTCTATAAGAAGCAAATATGGAAAAAAAATATCAACAGATATATTTGTAAACATGAAAGCAAAGTAAATACACTATTATCAAAGCTTTATTGATAATAAGAAACGTTGATAAGAAACGAAACGGTCTCGCCCCGTGAAAGTGGAATACTTTTGTATTTTGTGTTAAAAAATGTTCCTAAAAATGAACATCGTCAACCTCGTGGAGAGCTGCGCGAGGCCACGCGCCGTAATGGAGACCGATGCAATAATGAAATCCTGCCCAGGAAGCATCTGGGAACAGTCACGTGATGCTGATTTATGTCACGGAGATGTCCGTTCCGTGCAATAAAACTGCTTTAGCATCAGTCCCTGTTCAGGCAGCGACCACAGGCCGTGTCCTTGGTGGTGTTTTTCTTCTGAAAATCTAAGGGCGCGGCGACGACGTTTTCCCTCTCAAATTAAAAAGCCTGATTTCAGCAATCTGTGCTAATATTTAAGCACGTGCAGCAAAAAAAGCAAATAAGTGGCCTATCTTTGGTGAATTGTTTTAATAATCCCCATCCGTGTTGCTCTTTTGTTCCCAATACAATTATTTAATTTCATATTAAGTGTATTTAGTTTTTTCCTTGTCAGGCTTTCCAATGTTTAAACACCCTTAAAAAAAACCTTAAAAAACGAAAAGTAACGAATGCTTCACAACATCAGGCAACGACCAAAGCCTCCTTGGTAATATGCAACAGTTATTGCGCTGATTGGTTGTTGGGCGCCTCTCAGCCAATCACAGCTCAGCATGTGATCCGCTGTCCTTCAGGTTGTACGTCCATCCGGACTCCCCGTTCACCGGAGAGCAGCTCGTCAAGCAGATGGTTTCCTTCGAGAAGGTCAAACTGACCAACAACGAGCTGGACCAACACGGACACGTGAGCGCTCGTTTCCTTTATTCCTCTTTTGTTCCAAAAAATATATAATATTATTCTATGTTATCAGGAGGCGATTGCTAATACAGGTACTATGTGTGTGTGTGTGTGTCTGTGTGTGTTTTTTTTCTTCTGGTAAAAAGGTTCAAGTGTGGATTTGTGATTTATTATAGTTAACAAGTTGTAGTCTAGTTTTGGATATCAACCAAAAATGCAGGTTTAAACATGTCAAAAGTTGATTCGCCAGTAAGTGAGCCATATAAAATTCCCAAAACAAAGCTTTGTCTCTTGATAGGTTTAAAGACCTGTGTGACATTTTAATTACTCCCCGGACAAGAGCAAAGAGCTTCTTTTAATCCTCCTTTCACCGGAGGAACCATGCCAAGCAACCTAAGAAACATCCAACGTTCAACCAGTATTACGCCACACAGACAGGGAAACAAGGGGAGCATTATTTTGAAGGGTGTGTTTTTGTCTGTGTTTTTGTGTGTGTGTCACACTTTGGTTGCAGTCCGTAAATAGGTCCTGACATTTTACATGAAACAAATGAGTACATTAAATAAAACAAATGTTGTATACTACAGTATAAGCCTTTTTTTATTATTGATAATCAGTAGTATCAGTATTTTCAAAAAACAGTTGTAGCAGTTTTTATAAATATTTTATGAGGTTAAATCGTAATAAAATAAAAAATAGTAATGTTTTCTTTATACCTCCCAAAAAGAGATATTTTAAATGGCAAGAAGGAGGGTTTTTTGCTGCTAAACTAACGGAATTAATTAAAAAAAACTCCATTTCCCATAATTTGATAACTTGAGTTAATTTCTTAGGTTGATTGTATTTTTATCACACAACTTCTGTTTGTTATTAATTTACATAAGCTATTCTTCAAAAATTTCTGCTGTTGCAGTTTAATTTCAATATTTATTCATAGATGTTTTACTTTTCATTATATTCCCTTTATTTAGTTCATTTATTGACAATATTTTAATGTATTTATGAAATACAAAATAGCAGGAATAAAATGATAAAGGTCTTGAACATGTTTCTAAATAAATCAGAAAACCTGCCTCAACGTGAAGTCTCTATGCGCTGTCCCTCATATCACTTGGTCTTCATCAGCAGATTGTTGATTGATTCCTAAATGTAGAAATCGACCTTTTGTTGGAGGACTTTAAGTCTAGTTTGCCAACATGTCTAATCAATGCAAAAAGGAGACTGCACTTTAATTATTTTTGTAGACTTTAGGAAAATAGAATGTTGATTATTTTTTCATTACTTTTTAATAATTTAGCCCATAAAACATCATATAGAGAAAAAAACTCCTCCATAATGAGGCGAGGTCTCCCAATGACTGAAGTATTTCACGGTGGCGTCCATGTGTTGGCGGCCCCTGGCAGGGCGGCGGTTGAACCGTTGATGGTCGTTGATTGGGGCTCTGCTTGTCCTCTGCAGATCATCCTAAACTCCATGCACAAGTACCAGCCGCGGGTCCACATCATCAAGAAGAAGGAGCACACCGCCTCGCTGCTCAACTTCAAGTCCGAGGAGTTCCGCACCTTCGTGTTTGTGGAGACGGTCTTCACCGCCGTCACGGCCTATCAGAACCAGCTGGTGAGGGAAACATTTCTTTCTTCTGGATCAACTGCCAAATGTTGGATTTCAGACACATTTTATAAATTAAAAAAAGTGGCGCCAGCTCCATTTTGATCGTTTTATTCAACCGATTGGAAGTCCAGACAGATATGAAGGCATCTACTAAACCTTCAATACCGAACGGCAGCTGTAATATCGGCCATAGGACAGTTTTTATTGGAGATGGTCAGATACATATTTAAGTTACATATAAGAGGTATCCGAGGGGCAGATCTCAGGGTAAAGTAGTTATTAGGAGCAAAAGTCCTGCATTTAAGTAATAGTCTTCGTATGAAAAGGCAGTTAAAGATTATTATTAACAAGGAGACACTCGCACATCAACACTTCTCTCCGCTGTTCCCAGATCACCAAACTGAAGATCGACAGCAACCCGTTCGCCAAAGGTTTCAGGGACTCGTCTCGGCTGACGGACATGGAGAGGTACAGGGGCTTCTGGGTCCTGCACTGAGTGTGTGTCTGTGTGTGAAGCTTGTGTGTTTGTTTGTCTCTTGTGATGATTTCATGTCACGCGCTCCATCACCTGTCCTTGCTATCGTTTATTTATTGTTTTCCTTCTCACATTGTTCATCTTTCTGCTCCTGTTTTGCTTCTCTTCTCTTCTCGTCTTCTCGCCGTCCAATCATTCGCAGTCGTCCCTTCCGCCTTGTTGTCCTTTCTCTTTAATTCTTCCTTTCTAGTATAGTCTTCATTGTTTGTCATTTTCTCTCTTTCCTCCCCCTCACCTTCTTTCGTTATTTTCTCATCCACCGCGTCTTCTCATTTCCATCTTCTCTCAGTCGTTCCCGATGTCTTTCTTTCAGTCTTGTCTCCTCTTCCTGCCTTCTCTTCTGGTTTTCTGTCCTTTCCTCAGCTCTCCTCAAAGTCTTCTATTTCTCTTCAATTCAATCATTCCTGTCTTTCTTTTGGTCTTTTTTACTCCTTTTCTCTGCAGTTTTCTTTCATACCTTTATTGTATCTTTCTATCGTTCCCCCTCACTCTAATTGTGTAGGTGTGTGTATGTATTATGTATTGTGCCATAGTTGACATGAAACGGATGCCACACACACACACACACACACAGATACAAATCCCCATCTAAAGGATTTTTATGGACGCTGCCAAAACACACACTTCTCGTAATTCCTGATTCCGGCACTACGGCCAAAATCAGCTGACAAAATCAAACCATCTGCCCATTTCCCTCGATCAAACATCCCAAACCAGAGATGACCAAATCCGAGCCAGACCCCCGCCCCCCCACCCCCCCTCTCTGTCTTTCTCTTTTTGAGGGCTGTGAATTAGACCTGATCAATTGATCTTCGGGGAGCTGCAGAAATCACATTAGGCTGGAGTCGGCCACTGCACTAAAACACAATATAATTCAATTGGCTGCTGTGACTGATTGAAACCAGCATGGCTCACTAACCCCCCCCACACACACCCACACCCACACCCACACACACGCACTCTCTCCCTCCCTCCCTCCTTGCTTGCCTCCCTCCTGCTCTGCCGTGCATTGTGGGAGTTTGCTGTGGCCTCTGTGCCGAAGAGGCCCGGTGCTGATAAAAACACACACATTTGTACTCCTCTGCTGACAGATATTGCACTTTCCTAACCTAATTGGAGGGGCGGGGCTGCGTAATGTGGACGCATGGCTCGCATGATGCAGACCACTTGCCTGTCCACCCACTCACACACACACACACACACACACACAAATGCTCACTACCTCCCCAACAATTTGTGTCACTGTCTTTGAGAAGTGCGATCTGACAAGACTCAAATGAGCCAATGCACTTTGTGGGATGTGAACACACACACACACACATACACAGAGAATACTACATGCACAGTCTGCACAAACAGAATGTTCAGAAATGTCAGAAAAATATTACGTAAATGCAAAGAAATCTGCAGCTTGCTCACACTGAAAGTCTGTGACCCCAGTTTGCGACACTGTTGTAAAAAACACAATTTTAAAGAATAAATAAGAATGTAAAAGCATAAACTCCATGATCGGTGAAAGGAAAACAGTTTCAATTCAATTCAGTTTTCTAAATTAATTGAAATTGTATTTGCGTGATCACAATTTGACAAATTAAAATTTGAAAAACTAACGTGGAAAAAAAGAGATTTATTTTGGGGCTCTCTCTTGAACTTTTGCTGCAGGGAAAGTGTTGAGAATCTGATCCACAAGCACTCGTACGCCCGGTCGCCGATCCGAACCTACGCCGGCGACGAGGAGAACCTGGGCGAGGACGGACTCGGCGGACACACCCGAGGTGAGAGGCCTTCACATCCGCCCCGGATCTCCTTAGCACCCACACAGGGTCGAAGCGGGTGGGGGTCCTATGACCAGAGCAGCATAAGAACTTGTTGTCAACAAATCCCCATAATATAGAACAAAAGGAACATTCTGTCCTGTCCATTGCTAAATATTGGACTCAGTTCCAGGTCCGCCTGAGTGCAAATCTTTAAATACTGGCTGCAATAAGTGTAAAAGACACACAGCAGTTTTTGTGCATCTGTGCACCTTTTTTCTGTAGCAGGACGCTGTATTCGGCAAAAAGGGGTATGTAGGACCCTCGTTTCATACATCTGTACCATGTCTCCTGCAGGCTCCGCCTTCAGCGCCTCAGACAACCTCTCCCTGAGCTCCTGGGTCACCACCACTTCGGGCTTCTCGGGCTTCCAGCACCCGCAGTCCCTTTCGGCCATGGGCGCCGGCGCCGGCTCCCTGCCCCACCCCATCCAAGGCTCCCTGCCCCCCTACAGCCGGCTGGGCATGCCGCTGACGCCCACCGCCCTGGCCGGAAGCATGCAGGGCAGCGGGCCGTCCTTCCCCTCCTTCCACATGCCCCGCTACCACCACTACTTCCAGCAGGGGCCCTACGCCGCCATCCAGGGACTGCGGCACTCCTCCACGGTCATGACGCCCTTCGTATGACTGCGTCCCGGGGAGGAGAGGGACGACCTTCTCTCCGACCCCCAAGCCGGTGCAGCCAGTTGCTTCTCCACTCCGGCTCATCCCTCCTCATCCTGTTTGTATCGCCCCCCCTGGTCTCTGTAAATAGTTCACCTGCAGGCGAAGAGAACACTTCAGCGGCATTGTACAAACTCCTGCAACCTCAAAACAAACTGTTCCAAACGACACGAGGAGCCGGTTTGGTCTCGTCCCCCCTGAGGAACAGAAAGTGGAGGCTCAATTTAAACTCGTTTGAAACGATATTTAGAAGAACCCTGTAAAAGGTGTCAAAGTCCCGGCAGGGACGCCACCGAGGCTTTAAAGAGGCCGGGTTGCCGTCTGACCCTTTAACATTTTCGGAGAGACAATTGTGATGCTACAGTGTTGGCTTGGTACAAGTATGTGAACCGTCTGTGACTTTCTTCCGTTTTATTGAAAGCCAGCTCGTGTGTGCAAATCAAACTTCACTCTCATGGTAAAATGCATTGTACAAAGATGGAATTGCAAAATGTATTCATAGGAAAATTCTTATTGCGCAAAAAGAAAAAAAGAAGAAATCATAGGACGCATGCTGACAGCAGTAGACAAACACGCTGGGTAAACTTTATATGGAATAATATGTGACGATTGAGTTCTGAGAATCTGTGCATCCTCTGACGGTCCGGTCACACCAGCATGTAAAAACGCTTAAAAAAAACAATTCATTTCAAAGCAAACTGTGGATAACCCAACAAATATTTCTCCTCAGGATGCACTTTGGTAATTCTGACCCACTAGATGTAGACTGTGGATGGAAGCCTCATTTCAGCTCTTGTTCTCCTCCCCATCCCATATCTTTGCCATGCTAGCTAGTTTAGCTTTAGTTTAAAAAAAAAGAAAATCATGTGGGACTGTTTATGTCCAACTTCTCTTCGGAGAACTTTGCTAATCTCCCCCTTTGGTCCTACAGCGACCTGCTCGGTAATCATGGCCGATGAGTTTCTGAACGGACAGTTAAAACACCTGCTGGCTTGGAGAGCTTTTCGTATGAATTCCTGATAAAAAAAAGGCCTCGCGAGATTCAAACCGCGCGGCAGAGAGGAAATAAACTGAAAACAATTTCATCCACCAAACCGGTCCTGTTTTCTGAACTCATTCGTTCATCGATCTATCCCCACTGGTAGGATCAAGCGTTCCTCTCTGGCCGCGTGACTTCATCTGTTTTGCTGCAAATGGGCCTCAGCACGTGTGGAGAAACATGGCGGCCTTTTTAAGCCGGTCAGCCTATCAGCAGGTGTTAGCGGGCTGATCCATGGCGGCGTGTCGACAGGGCGTCCGCACCTGGAAGTAATGCCTAGAAGAAGAGGAAGAGGAAAGAGGAGGCTGGGAGCTGCCGAACTCCGCTTAGTGTGTCTGTGCAGCTCCCCCGGAGGCGAGGACGGAGTCATTTATTTGAATGATATATGAAGAAATACGTGATACGGTTACTGCTGTTGTTTTGGAACACACTTCATCATGAAGATACATTTTCAATCCAGCAGCTCAGAGTGCAAATCGCCGTCAGTCAGGTGTCTGTAACCGAGTTCTAAGAACTAGACTCAGACTGAAACTGATGTGGAGAAATTCCAAAAATATGTTAGAGGTTATTTAAATACTTTCTTTATGCAGTTTGTTGTGCATATGTAAAAGTTATTTGGGGGGCGGCAACAACTTAACAATTATGTTTGCTTTTTAATTGTTTTTAAATTCCTCATCCTCAAGGGATCCTCATCAAATATATTGTTCATCAATTGGCCGATTGTTCAATCCATTTTTTTTTTTTATAGCAAGAACGAGCCCGTCTAAAGCAGTGAAATATGTGCACATGTTGTGGTCCGAGCCCGTGCATGTTGTGCATTTAACCTGTTTATTGAATCAATCAATCAAAGTATCTTGTCATTTTTCTCTTTGCTTTGGAAATGAGGATTGTATAAGTTCATAAGATCAGAATGTTATCAGAATGTTGATTTTCATCAGTGTCAAAGTAAAACTCTTTGCTTTCCCCTTTTGAACCGCACGTAGAGTCCTTAAAAAATCCCTTTTTTAAACAAGACGTTTGTTTTTGTACGACGTAATACGAACGGGATTGTTGTTTTAATGAATTTTAAGTGCAATATATTTATTTTGCTCTCTGGAAATAATGTGTAATGTACTATGCCACATTTAAAACATGTTATTTGTAAACCTTGAGAAATATATATCACCACCCAAAAGTCTTTGAGTTCTTTCTTTTTTTTAACTGACTTGACAGACTTTCTTTCTCTCAGTGAATCAGATTGTTAGAAATACATTTGAATTGGAAAGTAATTTCCAAATAGCTTTTTCTATTTTAGTTGCTATAGATATTTCCTTTTTTCCAGGTAAGTATTAATAAAGACGATACCTAGTAATAAGTTCAGTATCATTAGGTAGGACAAAAAACACCGCAGAAAGGATTCTAAATGAACTTGGTCATAACATGAACAATCATAACGTGTCCTGCAGCACAACCCAGTGGTCGGCTCTTGAATGGCAGCTGGTATCAATTCACGAGTCAAACATTGAGAAGTTTTTAACCCGTCACATTCGCAAATATATCAACCTGAAAGCGATGCACTTTGAGTATGAATATTAACTGTTTGTATACTTAATAGAGAATTATAATCTATTTGGAAAACCTTCATAATTGCAGAGAACGTGCAGACAGCAGATCAGTTGAAAGATTCAGATCAGCATCAATATTTCATTATCTTTAATGAAATTATTTTTTTTTTCCCATTACGACAAAAAAAACCTCTTATTTTTACAAAATAATTTAAGATAAGATTTTTCTAACATGCAACCACATCCAGATGTGTTCCTTAGCAGAGTGTGTGCGCGTGCGTGTGTGTGTGTGTGTGTGGCCATTTCTAAATTGTGTCCAATCAGATTCATTTACCCCAGGTGGACTCCAGTCAAGGTCCACAAACATCTCACCGATGATCCAGAGGAGAGCAGAGCTCTGAGGTGACCTCAGAGGAATATTTCCATCTGGGTTTTCTTGCTGTCGGTGTGATGGAAGTTATTCTTCTTCATGTTTTAATTACATATCATTTAAAAGTACAAAGATGTAAACTTTTAAACCTGCGTGTAAGATCCTTTATTATCTGCAAATCAAGAAAAGATCAAACATCTGGCATCAATTATTTACTGGTTTAGAAATGTTACATGATGCAAACAATGCTGTCCTCATTTTGAGATCAGAACATTATTATTTTTAAATATGTTACTTATAAATATTTCTGTATAAGACTCGTCTGAAACAGATTACTGCTTCCCATGATGCATCATGGGTCACCGTTCCCCCTCGTCCATCTTCAAAACAATCAGCAAAAACAGTACAAACAGAAAACTTCTACTCCCCTTGTTGTCAGACAGCTTTTGTTCATTTTCAAATGTGTAACTTTCCTGTTGATAAAAAAGTCTTCATCTGCAAATCTGCTCCTTTAATGTGTTTATACAATTCTCCTACTTGTTAAGTGAAATAAACTATTTAAAAGCCTCTTTGATCAGCTGGAGAATGGAAGCTAAAACAGGCTTTTGCTCTGGATAAAGCACACATTATAAGATTTATGTCCTTCAGGGAACAATAACAATTTTCAGTCATCGTATCCACAGATATTTGTTATTTCCCTTTATGATTTAGTTTATTTTTTACTGCTGCAAGAATCCTCTCTTCAGGATCAAGTCGAGGAAGATTAAAGTCCAAATTGATCGTTTTTCATGTTTTCATGTGCAGACACAAACCAACAATCTGTGCCACATGCAGATAAAGAAAATACAACAAACTTTTGTGTCGTGTGATCACTTCCTTTTAAACCACCTGTTCGTCCGACCGATCCCCGGATCACCTGACGGTCTCACCTGTTCCTCATCTCCTCATCACAGCAGCAGTGCAAGTAGAAATGAATGAATAAAAGGGTTTGAGTGAATCTCTGCTGTAACAATCACACTTGTGCTGCTGGTGAACACAGAATAACAGCAGCCTCCTCCTCGCTTCACCCAGGACGTCTCCTGCCAAACGGAAGCAAAAAACGGATTCTGTGATCCTGCCAAAGAAATGACAAAATGAATGGCGGACTTAACGAGAGCGAACAACAATCCACTCAGTAGTTGTTAAATTATTAAAGCCAGCGCTGACATCATAAATCATAATCGCTGGAACCGAACTGCAAATACTTTTGAATGGCAGCACGTAAATGACGAGCATTTACATTTCAGCCATTTATGAGCATAAACGTTACAGTCAAGCAGCTGCACTCTGATGTTGATTTTTAAAAGGTGCCAAAAATGTTCATCAGTTCTCCCTAAAAATCAAATTCATGCAGTCAAGTTAGGCAAGAAACCCACTGAAAATAACATTCCCGGCTTTAATGTTCTATCACAATCCACAGACTGGAGTAAAACACGGCCATATCTGCACTATTGACTCCCACTCATACGTATAAACACACGCGCACGCTGTCGTCTATCACCAGAAGCATCACCCGCCACCGCAGACGAACTGACGGATCGATGGCCGTGGGACGTTAGTCACCGTTTCACCAGGAAGAAAGGCCCCACTTTCTGCCCCGATAACAAACGGTTACATCCTCGGGAAAAAAATACATAAATAAACAAATAAATAACATCCAGTGTGGCTGTGATTGGATTAAAGGCAGAGGGGAAGGGCGAGACGAGCCACCGTGAGGTATGGCCCAACAAATTGGAGCCAACAGTCGGGCCAGAGAGTCCATTTTGGGGCATAATTTACACAGTGAGGAGCATGAGCTGAATCTAATGTCATTTCCATCAATTTTGCATCTTGGCCCTTCTTCCCCCCCTCCAGCCCCCCTCCCTCAGGGCTTTTAGCGGTCGTTCGAACCGTCTGGAGGAAGACAGCCGGCGGGCATTACAATGTCGGGGACGTCCTTTGGGCGCGGAGCGAGAGGTGCCCCTTTACGGCGTGGTGACTGGCTGCACGGCGGCCATTGCTGCGGCCATCCGGCTAATGGCTAACAATATGCTAATTGGGGCCCGCGGCGGGGAGCGGTGGCCCCAGACAAGCCACTTAATGGATGTTTTATCTGCAGGTCGAGAGTCTCATCGGCCATCAGTCTGTCCTGACGAGACGTGCCAAGGCAAATTTAGCGATAAAGCGCTTTTAACAATCCGGCCACAAAGTGCTTCGGGGAAGACGAAGGACAACAAACGACCACACTGGGAGTCTGTGCTGAAATGTGCAAATCTGCTTGGTGTCTTTTTTTTTTAAGAAGAGAAATGCCCCCTGAAAGCAAAGTTGCCCGAGGACGAGCGGAGACGACAGGCACTCCTGACGGAGCGCGAGCTAAATTCACTTCCTGCCCTCAAACTGAGGGATTTAAGACCAAATGCAGTCTGACGTCCAGTCGGGTTACTTCGGATATTTCTTCTGGACCCTAAATCTGCTTTTTTTGAATGATTATCTTTAGTCATTGCATTAAGGAATAACCCCAAATCAGATGTGAAGGAAAGTAGTACTTCCTTTTTTTGCGCCACTACGTCTTAGAAGGAACATTTAAGGCATCACGAGGTGTTTTTGACAGACAGTGTGTCAGACACAGAAAAGAAATTCACTTACCAAGTTCTGTAATGTTGCCTCTGACAAACTGATAATACATTAAGATGATTTGTTTAACTCTGAAATAAAGACACAAGGCCTGAATTCCACCTGGGACATAAAGGACGTGTCCACATTTTATTGTTGCTCCTAAAGTGTCCTAAATAAATTTACAGATTACTGGACACAAATCCATTGAGAGGAAGACTATTCAGGGGGGAAAGTACGCGGTCGGTTAGTTTTGATGCCTCGTGTACGGGATTTTGGCCGTCGCCATCTTGGTTTTTTTGCAACCACATGTGACAGCAGAGAGCTGAACAGGACCTCGTTAGTCAAGTCAAAGTTGTGGAGAAAAAGTTGTGAGACAGAAAGACAAACAAACCCCAGACAGGACAACATCAGGATAGCGACCTGTCAATCACGAGGTAGATGGATCATTTTTTACAAAAATACCGAATATCTTTATTTACAATAAAGATCAATAAACAATAAATATCGTTATTTACAATAAAGATATTAGCGAACGTCTGCTTCTATTTTTGCATGAATAAATGAATCAGAAGATTTAACCTCCACTCATTTAATTTTAAATTTCCTTAATTTGCATCTAACTTTTCTGCTTCTTATATGTCATTTCGGTTCTGTTACTTACAGTTTGACCGCACAACACAACACAACACATGTGTGATCAACCAATGACAATTCGTCATCTGAACATCTCGGTCGCTTACATCCCACTGAAAGCGTGCTTCCTGGCGGGTGTCGCACTCCCTCCTCCCTGGAGTGTCCGTGTGTCCGTGGCAGGTGTCCAGCCCCACTGCCGTCTGCGGAAGACAAACGCCGCCTGATGGCAGGGGGGGGGGGGACTGGAGGGGGCCGTCTGCATAACAACGACTTATTATGATGATGAAATGTCCTACAAGGCCCCAAACACCCTCTTAGAGAAATCTCTCCCTCCGATAAGGGGAGTCTAACCCCGCGGAGAGAGGGATGGAGGGGTGGGGGGGGGACGTCCTAACCTGATTGGATCGGCGGCTCGGAGGGGGCGCGCGTAACGAAATCAAAGGGCCGTCAAGCCGCTGTCATGCATAATTAATTGGGCCTTCTCCGACCAACTACACAAAAATCCATGGTCATTTGATTAGGGGGGTTTTGGAGGACTCTCTGAAGTGCATCGCTGTCTGAGCCGCTTCCCCCGCTCGCCCCTCCATCAGCGGGGACGCGGCGTCGGGGCCCGCTTGCAGGTTCCGCTTCCAACATCCAGCGGGGCCTCGATTCAAACTCTCATTAAGGTGCTTTTAAAACTCAAGGACATGATTTATCTGACTTCGCGGAGGGGCGGGGGGCGTGCAAGCCTGTGTTTTTGCTGCCCGTGGGTGCAGAGGACATGTGACGGCGGGTGAAGACATCAGCCTGCAGCGGGCTGGCTCGCCCTCGAGCAAGGCATTCGCCGTATTTCATCTCTGAGAACACATCGGAGGCCCCGCAGTGATTTCAGCTAAATATGCTAGCATGCTGATGTGACCGGATGAGGGTCCCCCCCCCCCCTCTCAGCATACCTGGGGCTAATTCCGATTGATTGGGAGAGGCGGGGACATTACTTAAGCCCATGGTGTGTGGACTCACCCTGTTGTCTTCTCCTGCTGGGTGTCTGTGGAGACGTGTCCGGGAGGCGTGCTTCATGTTTTGGCCGCTGCCCTAGGTCATCGTTCTGCTGCGGTGTGCGACCCTGTCTCGGTCATGGATGTCCCCTTGTGGGTGGATGTATGCCTGGACTACTGGCGTTCAGTGTCTTGTGTGGGCCGCTGTCTGTGAGTGCGTGTGGGTGCCACCGCCGGGGTCTGTGGGTGTCCTGTAATTCGCTGGACTGTAATTAAAGGGCCAATATTCCCCGGCGCGTTCTCCCTCCCCACTGAAGCTGTTCTTGATACCGGCTGAAACCGTCCTGGATTCTGGTAAAACTTCAGATTACACAAGCAATCTGGAAACTGGTACAAAAATGGCTCTCTAACTGTTGTACATATTGCATGTGGGTCTTTTCCTTTTTGTTATTTTGTATGCTGGTTTATTGATTTGAATTGTTTGTTTTCTTTATCACTGATCTACTCCCTTCTTCACAAAACATATTGTCATTTTAAAAAGAATATTTAACTAAATAAAACCGTATATTTTTATGATTACCTTTATGGTCTCTGACCCCTGATTTTGGTGAACGGCTCTGTGTGCCTCAACAAGAATGGTCTTGGGCCTATCCCAAGTGGCGTTGTTGGACATTGTTGTTTCCCTTGAGTGTCATAGGCCACTCGTATTGCCACACTAACTTACGGATTCCCTTTTGCCGTCGACCACGTTCTGTTTTCTACTTGATGCTTTAAATGTTCAAAACACATGACTATTGTCATTCGGTTATTTATTTTAACATTGACATTCATCAGTGAATATATTGACATGAGGTTTTGCCCAAAAAGCAAAAAAACAAAACAAAATGGATTATTTGATCTCGTCTAGTGAGCATCAGGGAATGAAATGTATTAATGGGGTGACGTCAGTTAACAGGGTGTGAGGCTTCAGGGGGACATTCGGGATGATGCTGTTGCTCTCCATCAAAAGGGAGACGGCTTAATGGCTTGTTGAACCAATAAGAACTTTCCTAAGATTCCTAAATGTGCACAAACACAAAGCGTGACATTACACAATTGGCATCAGCGGAAAGGAATGCCGTTAGTTTCGGACATAAAACAAAGTCTATGGTTTCATTACCATAAAGGCATATTTAGTAAGACATATTGCATAATTATGCATGAAAGTACTGAAACGCTTTCACATCCTCTTATAAACTTAACATTTTAATTTGTGTGTTTGTTACAAGTGTATGCAATGTATCATTTATAGTATTAAAAAATGGAATGAGGAAAATATCACATTTGATTGTGAAAACGGTTACTGAAGGTAACTGACGTCGCCACCTGCAGGACGCCAGAGGAAAAGAAGTGAAACACAGCCGTCGAACAGCAAGATTTTTATTTAAAAAAGCAAATATTGAGGAATTAGAGATGCATATACTTACATGTGTAACTAATATTCAAACACACAAAGTGGGAAAACAATGTGCTTCAGTAGCTGCAATGTCTTTATGCACTTTGTGTGAAAGTGAAAATGTCTTTTGCGATTGTTTTGATCACGTCCCTCATTTAAAGGTTTGAAAAGCATCACCTCATCACTGTTTGAAATGAAGACAGCTCCCTCCAGGTTCTCTCACCACATCTCATTTAATTCAAGACCAATGAAAAAAGAAATGTATATATCACTTGATCCATTAAAACAACGTGAAATTAACTTTCTTTATGTTCCTTTATTCTGACACATCTGCGCTTAAACCTCAGAGGGGCCTGTTTTCAATGTACAAAGACACCCGGGGTGTTAGAACCAGAAGGTCTGGTATATGAACGCACCGGGGTGACTGAAGATGGCTTAGGGGTATTTAGGTGGGAATTGTGATACTTAAGTCTAGCGGTATAACAGGAGGACACGAGGGACGGCTCTTCCTAGTTGGCCGGTTGGTGCCTTCCCTCTGGGACGATGGAGGTGAAGAAGGTGCTGATGAAGGACCACGCGGTGGCGAGGAAGCCGGGATCGTGGACAACGGCAGCAGGGTCCCGGTGCCCTGCCCCCCCGGCCATGTCCTCCATCCCCTCATCCATCAGGCGCTCCTGGGACACGGATGAAACAATACAGGAAATATTGAAAAAGTGATACATGCAACCTGAGATGAAAGTAGGTGATGTCCTACAGAGCACATTATCCCGCTTTGATGCAGATCTTCATCCAGGCAGAATTCCCTCATTTCATTTTTAACAGATGATTTTTGAGCACTTTTGCCCATTTAACAGAAGACACTGTAAAGATATACAATCATATGTGAGAGAGAGAGAGAGAGACATGACTGGAATGGATTTATGTGGCATGTAACAACCAGTTTTTCTCTCTACTAATAACTTGCCATCCATAAATGGCTATAGACCACAGATCTTCCCAAGGACAACAGACGTTTTACTTAACGTGTCTGACAGCTCACCATTTCCTGTATGTCCTGGTGTCTCCCGTCGTCCTCCTCCTGAGGTTCTCCTTCTCCTCCTCCTCCTCCGACGTTCTGCTGCTCCGGCCTGAAGGGAAACCAACCAGCCTGATGCCTGCAGAGAAAAGAAAACGCCACAAACATATTTTTAGATTCCAAGTACAACGAAATGTGTATCCTTTTCTTTTTTTATTCACACAGAAAACCGAATAGAAATGAAATGAAATCAAGAAAGACCATCCGAGTGACTCACAGGTAGACGAGCAGCATGGCGCCGACCACCATGGCGAAGCGGCTGAAGGAGGAGTAGAAGTAGACGATGCTGAGCAGGACGGCGGCGCGCGACACCGTGTACAACCAGTCCAGCCAATCGCGGTTCAGCTCGTCGTCGTTCAGCACCGCCCCCCCCTGCGCGTTCATCTGGATGGGGTTGGCCGGCTGGTTCTCGGGCAGTGGGTTGGGGGCCGGGTTGGGCCCCAGCGGGGGCTGCACGGCCTCGTTGGGCTGGGCGGGCGGAAGGGGCGAGGGGGAGGGGGAGGAGGGCGGGGGAGGGGGAGGAGGCTGGGCGGCGGCTACTGCCGCCTGACTGGTGAGGAGCAGGAAAACACAATCAGCTCAACTTCACGTCAGAGGTCTGGTTGTAATGTTTCTAATAATCGCCACGTACGGTGGATAAAGCCTTACTATTGCATGTAGTAGTGGCGCGCATACATCTGCTGCCACCACAGCATCTGCATGGGCATGTACATGGGGTGGGGGGGCATGTTGCCCTGTAGAGGGACCTGGGCTGCGTCTGGCCTGTGGAGGGACGTCGTGTTTGTCATTTACATGCCAACAGGAAATTGCCACAGTTGTTGTATCAGCAATTCTCTGTACAGTAACGAGCGACCTTTGAACCGTCAGTGAACACGAGTTGTGCTTCTGTTACAGTGAGGACGACTTGCTTACCACTGAGGGACCCCGGCGGGGCCCTGAGGGTTGTACTGCGGGATGCCGCCGCGATACCGCAGCCCGTCATAACTACCCGGGACCGAGGTAGAAGAGGAGGGGGAGGGGGATGGGGATGGTTGACTGGCATGGGGGGTATCTGAACTCTGAAGGACGACATGTGAGCACCAATCAGACATTGAGACGATGTTTTGTTTTTTTAATTAGGTTTTCATTTAGGTAATCAGGTTTTGCACCAATACCAGTTTATGTGACTTTTCAATGGCAAAAACAGCGTAAAAGGACGGCGATTAACTAACAATCCAAGGATCCAAAGCCTGCCTGTCTCGGTCTACTCACGCTGGCGTCAGAGCCGGCCACGGCGGCGCTCCGGGGCATGGGCGAGGCCGGGGGGCTTTTGGAGGCGCACACTAGGTGCAACATGTGGTATTCATCCTGCTGCGGGTCAACGAGTGGAGGACAGAGAGAGAGAGAATTAGTGAGGGGAAAAGGCTAGAATTCACACACACACACACACACACACACACACACACACACACACACACATTGTTGGTAAAACACATCAGATCAGCTGCTTTTTCCCAGGCAGCCTGATTCGGTGCACACAGAAAATAATTGGCGAAGCGAATAATTTACAAAGGCTTTTAAAGATAGGAACAAATCTATTTGGGTGGATTGACAAACCATATCCTTTCAAGGCAGAATATTGCTCACACACACACCTTTCTGAGCACATCTCTGAGCTGCAGGTGGTCTTGAAGGAGCCTCCCTGAGTACACCAGCCGCTGGTCTTTGGACAGCTACAACACAAACAGCACTGCATTGTAAGACACACGGTTAACAGTCAACGTGCTTTATTTAACTTGCTAAATACAGGAAGGTTTAGGTTACAGCCAGTGTGACTCTCTCAGACTCACAATGGTTTCCCAGTGTAAACAGATGAGGGCAAAGTTGCCTTGTAGAGAAATAAGAACTCTAGAACCTAAAACCTAAACAAATGTTTTGCGTAGCCTCGAGGTCCAGAAAGAATCCTGACTTTCAAGAAAACCTGGATAAGAAGTCCTGAAAGTACCCTTGAAATACTATGGAAATTAAAGCGCTGACACAAACGTCAGCCTTTTAAAATAAACATCATGACTTGATATCTCCGATCTAGTTGTTCATCTAGTTGTTGACCTTGTGGTTGACCTTGTTTTCGTCAGGGCGTGAGAACACGGGCGGGTGGCTGATTAGACACCTTTGGATTAGATTAGACTGCTGGGCTACAGATTAGATTTACTAAAAGCAGACCCAGTGTGTACGATCATATTTTCTGCGCCTCATTTTATTAAGTACACATGCCCGTGATAGAAAACGCATCGACAAATAGAAGATGTTAAAAAGGTTATTTCCTCGTTTACACTGTTGATACAAATCCTCGGCTGTGTTAATCTGTGCTATGTCTCTCACCGCCTCTCTCGCAGATCGTGTACTTCTTTTTCACTTTTAACTGTTATTTTTTTATTGCACTGCAAAGTTGTGTGAAATTGATTTCATTAATTTTTTGAAGAAAAGAAAAATAGTTGTGAGAATGCAAAAAGAAAAGCAACAAGGACTTTGCCTCCAAAGATTTGTGTTACGTGCGTGCTTATGTTTTGTACACCACACAGTCAATTACAGGAAAAGCATTGGCAAATTATTGGACAGTTAAAATACTTTAGCAGGGTGGTGTGGTGGTTAGCACTGTCGCCTCACAGGGTTCGACTCCGCCCAGTGGCTTTTCTGTGTGGAGTCTGCATGTTCTCCCCGTGTCTGCCACAGTCCAAAGACTCATCAGGTTGATTGAGGACTCTAAATTGCCCGTAGGTGTATGAATGTGAGTGTGAATGGTTGTTTGTCTCTGTATGTTAGCCCTGCCATTGGCTGGCAACCAGTCCAAGTTGGCTGGGATGGACTCCAGCCCCCCCCCCCCGCGACCCTGTGTGCAGGATAAGCGGTTTGCAGATGGATGGATGGAAAATACTTTAGTTTGTGTGTTTGTAGATGTGTGTCCGCCTGTGGTATACTTTTAATGACGAGCCACGAGTCCCCTTCAACTCCTTTTTCAGGGGTATCCAACACATTACGACAAGAAGATCATTACCAAATAACCATAAAAAGCAGCGAGCGTGAGCGCGACGTACCGGGCTTGCTGGGGTACACGTTGGAGATGTGACTCCTCAGCCTCCTCACGGTCCAGTTGAGGAAGCAGTTAATGGTCTGGTCCCCATACTTCTGGTTGGGGGCCTTAATGACCAGGGTCACAGGACTATCAACTGCCCAGGAGTCCATGGCTCATATTACAAGCAGGGGGGCTCTGAAGAACCTGTAGAGCCTGAGCTTCCTGTGTCACAACTCAGGACTCGCACCTGAGGAGGGAGCTGCCTCAAATCCTCTCCATCCCGGGGCTCAGCAAAGACACACACACCTAAAACTGGACCTGCCGGTGCTGGCGGGGAGAGTGGGGGGGGTGTGTGTGCGAGGGGGGAGGGGGTGCTTCCCCCTCTAAAACATCTGCCTCATTTGTTGAAGTTGGTGGATTCCGACTGTATTGAAGGGGGATTCCTGAGTGACGGTACTTCTTGGATTTCTGCCAGAGGAAAAACATAAAAGGCGTTGTCTCTTTGTATCAGGTTTTATTGCCTTGACTATATCATGTTTCCTCTGAATTTGTTTGTTTACTACTATATACACAGTAGAACATTGCGCCTGCTGCCCCTTCATTGATTAATGTGACTTCAAAATCGAAGAATGAGAGTAACAAAAAAGGTAAATAAAGTAATATAACGTTATATCTCACACACACACACACACAGGTTGACGGTTCGCTGCCTTGCTCAAGAGGGCACCTGCCGCCTCACACAACCGGTCCACTCTCCGTATTTTCAACTCCGGTTCTCGGAAAAAATCCCCCGGGACTGGGCCAACAACCCGCCCCCACCCACCCACAGCACTTCTGTATTCAGGGTGAAAACAGAAGCGCGCCGCCGCGGAGGCGATGGGTCGCGAGTTTCACTTCGTACTTTCTGACACCTGCTACGTTGCGTCATCTTTACGGTCAACTGTCAAACAATTAACGTTAGCTAAACTGTCGGCTAATTCGCTGCGAGTCCAGGTGAGCCGCGGTAAGTTACGGACACGGGCGCAGAGAGGACGGTACACAAGTGCCGCGGCGGTAACGTAAAAGTAGCTCCCGGTGACTCACGCGGCGGCGCGGCTTGTGTTTTGACCCGTCGTTGAAACCGGTGTAGCGGGTTTAGCTCGTGTGCTAACGTTAGCTTCGTTGTTGCTTGCAGGGGGAGAAGAAGAAGAAGAAAAAAAAAACAATCGGGTCGGACTCGTAAACCGTTGACCGCAATGACAACCAGTTTAACGGCGTTACGGGAACGTTTAACGGAATGACGCCGCGCGGTGTCTCCCGGTAGACCTTATCGTTCGGTATTTCGTTCCCGTACCTTGTTTGCTCTGGCGGTGCCCTCGTCTCCGCGTCTCAGCTCGGCTCGGCTCGCCTTGTTGTTGAAAATCGGGTGTGTGTGTGCGTGTGAGACCGGAAACTACGTCATCGTCTCGTCTTCACAGCTGATCCGGGAAAACGGATCCGGTTGGAAACCAGAAGGGCCGGTTCGAGGAAATCCTGCTGTGTTTGGTTTGTAAACGACTTCGAATAATTTTTCTCTTCGCTTAAGAAAATCACTCCAGCAATAACTGGTTTTAGACATGCGATACATTAAAGTATATACACGTAAAAACGATCCATTTGAATCCTTTGTGTTATGTAATACTGGCACAGAAACAAGTATACATTCATTCTGCATGTATTTATTCATTTATTTTGCAGGGACAATGCACACTAATCAACAGGTGCACTGTAAGTGAGCCAGAGAGGCTCATTTCCATCTGCTGCCCCGGCCGGATGTTTTAAAGACACCCTGAAAAAACATTAGAAATCTCGACAGGAAATATTCACTGAAAAGTTCCATAGAAAAATTAATAGACAAACGGACACAACTCATACACAAAACCAATACAAAGCAAAAGAAAAGGAAAATGTACGACAATAGAGAGCAACCATACCAGGCTGCAGCACTCACACACCTACAGTGGAAGCACATATACAGTAAACCACTGAAGCACATAACATACACAGCATTTCACGAGTGAGCTGCCTTCACAGCGAATGCAGATTTGCTAAAGGCGCTTGACCTGTGTGAAATAACACAGTGAAAAAGATCCAGTAAGTCTGCTGCTTTGACTGCTTTGTTTGATAAAATCACTAAGTGGAGGCCGGGCATTAGTTTTGCTGTGGTAGATGTTATGTGAGACTGAGAAAATACATGTTCTTTATTATGGGGGAAATTATCTGGAGAAAAGTTATTCGATAGGTAATAGCAATGTAATATAAATTTGCTATGGGTTTTGTATAAACAAATATAAATGCTCTGAAAGGAAACCGGATATGTTCCAACTCAAGCATGAAAAGAAACACTGAAAGTAGACACCTGAGGTATCTGTAAGAGGTGTGTTCATCCATGAAATAAATAAATAAAATATATATGTATGGCCCCGGTCTTCTTCTTGATCATTTTGTATTCCTCAACTTCTAGGTAACATTTTATGAGAAGTGAATACAGAAAGAAAAAACTATCAATATTGCATCAATCTACAACATACACCCCCTTTTGTTTAAACCATATGTTGCAATGTTTGATATTTCCCCACAAATTGCATTTTTCACACAAGTGGATTAAATAATAATCAAACAAATTCTTTATTCAAAAAAGTCACCACCTAGTAGTAAATAGTTTAATACATTTTCAAACGTCTTACAGAACTAAAATCCTTTTAATTATTATTTTTTTAAGATCACATATTGACACGTCAACCAAAATGTGTGGATACATGAAGCGAAGTCAAAAAACAGATTTTCTCCATTCAAAGAGCCTGGGAAAGAAAATAGATTTTAAAACCTTCTCCGGAAACAGCGTGCATGCTTCTGTCTACACCGGCTGTTCGGGCTGATGAGATTATTACATTTTCAGATTTTTCAGTTTCAAACCCGTCACCTCTCAGCCACACGCTCAGTTAAAGCTTCTTTGTTTAAAGTTTCAGTTTGAGGAGAACCTCCTTGGTCAGCTGCTTACTGTACCGGTTAATCTTCCAGTGTCCGGGCCTCCATCCCAGCAGAAAGCGATGAAAATCCGTCCATGCAAAAGCAAACATCTCCCTCCACTCTTTCTCCAGGGCGCCAAAGTCCACGTCCTTCTTCACGGACCGCTTCAACTCGGTGAAATAGTGGTCCAATAGGCCCGGTACCCTCTTCTCACACTCCCTCTCTTCCATGCAACTCCCTAAAAAATACACGACATCTTTCATCCCGCAGCCGCCGCCGACATACTGGAAGTCCACAGCCGCCACGTCCTCTCCGCCCTGCGAGAAACAGAAGTTGGCTAACTTGGCGTCTCCGTGAACGAGGGTCTTGAAGACGCATCCGTTCAGCGTCTCGTCGATGGCACCGGCTGCCGCTTTGAGCTCGGCGTCGTCCATCGCCTCCAGCTCGTCCGGACGGGTCTCCAGGTGCCAGTATGTGCCGACGGGCCACAGGCCCTCGGGTGGCACGCCCAGGAAGAGCGCGTGGAAGTGGGCGAGCCAGCGCAGACAGGCCTTTATTTCTCTGTCCTTCACGCTGGTCCTAAGACGACAACAAACTATTATCCGTCCGGCATGAAATGTGTTCCTCTTATTAGAAGAATTTCAGTGTTTTTATTGACAAATGGCAAAAAGGTCAAAACATAATGTAGTATTTTAAATATCCACTTCACTGGTTCTGAGCTCTATCGCATTGAATTTGAAATGTAAAAATGGTCCCGGTTCACTTTTGAGGGGCATCCACGTCTTTTCCTCTTGTTTTCCTCACACATGAAATTTGATCCTACATTTTATCCTGTTTGTTTTCAAAATTGAAATGTTTTTTTTTCCCATTCTACTGGGGATCGGCCCACTGATTGGCTAGTTTGACCAGAAAATGAATCTTAAATCTCATGGAGCGCAAAGAAATGCGTGTTCATTTAAAGCACGAGCTGAGCTTAAAACAAAACCTGTATTCTTAACATTTCCGACAGTTCTTCTGAGGACCATAGCAATGTCCTTTCCTCAGTGTCGTTTTTGTATTCCTATCACCTGTGTGTACCAGGTACCTTGATTTTGGGGGTCAAAAGGTCACTGTGTCTTCACAGGGTTTTGCGGCCATAACTCATAGGACGAGTACGACAGTTTCACACAAATGTCTAATAGGATCAAATCAAATGAGACAGGGATGTAAATAACAACCTGATTATTTGAGGTACGGCAGCAAGGCGTTAGTTCTAGTTTTGTCAAAACATATTCGGGTCTGTTGAGTATTCGAACCCAACAACTTAGTAGAACTTGGATGTTTTGAAGAAAAATGTTAAAGCGCATCCCTACTGTAAAAGATATGTGTTTCATACCATAAGCTGTGCTGGTCCATACCTTCTCTGGTCATAACCCGCCGCGTCCAGATCCTCCAGCACGATCAGCATCTCGTCGCCATGGGAACAAACAGCCAGGCAGGCGGGAGTCCGACAGCTCCGGTCGGTGTAATAGTTCCGGTACCAGTGCGTCTCTACCTCGTAGGACCTCACTTTGCGCGTGTGCGAGCGATCCGTGTTCCAGCCGCCGGGGTGCGCGGCCTCCTGCGGAAACTTGACGTGCTTGACGACCACCGACGGCCGGTCGCAGCCCTCCAGGTGCAGCCGGACTATCTCCCCGTAACCGCTCCACAGCGTCTGCATCTTGGCACCGACACGCAGCGATGAGGCGGCGCACGCCCGCAGGATGAGATCCTGGTGCTCTGGTTTCATTTCCAGTCAGAGCTGAACAAACCAAAAAGGAGTGTGTGTGTGTACTTTGCTTGTGTATTTATTCAGCTTTATATTGACAACTCACTGGCAAATGCTATTTCTTTAAAACCTTTGACAGCTTTAGTTACTTTTCAAATCCACATTTTAATCCCCTACCTGTTCACTGTAAACGTTGCATCTCCAGATGTGTTGATTTATAATCACATTTATAACATTTATAATAGTGTTTCATTCCATTATTGTGTCAAGAAAACTACACCATAACATAAATATCTTTAATAAGCTGTAAAATGCATGGTTATAACTTTTTAGAGATACGTGTGTCTCACAGAACAGGGTCAGGGTTAGTGACACATATTATAGAATATGATGCAATGCTGTGGGTCAAACTATCTAATTGTATATGTATGTGTATATATATATATATATACATACATACGAAGTTCAACATCTACAACAGCAAATACAACATATGCATTCATACAGCAGTATTATGAATCGAATGTCATATACACTGACAACTACCACTAAAACTACTCCAAAATCATCATTTGAAAATATAAGTACTCTTTGCTAATTATGCTTGAAACAGGACTTTTATTCGCATTTAAACATCTTCACAATGTGGCATCAGCAACAATCTCCCACAGATCGTCTTGTGATTGTTGTTCTGTGTATCCCTTACCTTACTCACAAATGATCACGTTTTGGTATCAAGAGAGCACACATTCAGTGGATGCTGCGACGTAAAATTCTATTGAAAAATAACCTGCAAAATACCTCCTGGTTTGTGTCAGATAACAGGAAGTATTCCTTTCAGCGTTCTCTTTCATACTTAAAGCCACAGATGTTGACTAAAGGGAGCTAAATAAACTCTGATGCCACCTTGTGGTGCGGAGTGTATCAGCAGCAGCAAGAGGCGCCTCTGATCAGAACATGTTGGAGGCCTTCACGTGAACACGTGGTGCAACACTGTGCGAGGTGAAAGGAGCTGCGATCCAAATCACACACCTTTTGGCCCAATCTCCCCCCCCCCCAAACCCTGAACCCTCAGGGACTTAACTGACGTCACCTGGCAAGTGGTTGAGTGTGAGGAATTACGATGTGCATTTGAGGGTATATTCATTCCATACTTTTCCCTGAAATAGAAACTGTCCAGGAGCACAGCAACAGCACCATGCGGGCAAAACTTTCGACCGGATGTTTATGCATCACATTAGCAAATCAATTGATGATGGTGAATCATTCACACTCACAGACACACACTTAGTCTTGTTGTCATTGTTTTGGGGGATATTACATTGACTTACATTCATTTTCTGGATACACATATTTAGTCCCCAATAAGAAGTCGAGTCAGACAGACAGATTTCTGTCCCCACATCACTGGCAGTACTAATACACACACACACACACACACACACACACACACACACACACACACACACACGCGCGCACACACAGGCACCATCAAGTATTAGGCATTGATAGTGCCTGTGTACATGTGTGCATTGTGTAGCATGTGTTATTGGCATGTGTTATTTTCACAACGCTTTCCTCTGGTTAATTAACATTGCAGTTACATAGTCAAACATTATAAAAAATGTAGCATCTTTTAAAAGAAATCAGAAAACACACACATAAAAGAGGAAGAAATTACTATTGAAATATAAAAAAGAGAGGGTTTCCGCCAAACCTGATTTTTGAATTTGTCTCTTTCATTTCTGTCTCGTGACACGCAGAATAATACAGATTATTAATCCTGATATAAATATGAATGAAGACTGCACCGTAAAAACACCTTTTCACCTGAGACGGAAAACTTCAGTCACGGAACAGAGGTGTAATACACGTAATCACTCTTTTCTGATTAGTGATTATTTGTGCGTCTATGTTTCCAGTGGCCTGCATGTTTATCGTGGTATATTTAAGTTGTTAATCAAGAAAAAAATCCGCTTGAATCTGTAAAACTAAAGTGTGTTGATTTTTCTCCGTAATCTGGTCCACCCCCGCTACCGTGTCCGGAGTGGTACATTCCAAATGACAGCTGGCTCCACGCTCGTACCACAGAAAGCCGCCTTTCAACCTAGAACTTCTTGTCTTTTCCGTCCTGTTCAAGCCTAATTGGGAACTCTTAACCACCAACATGTCTGCACCTAAGAAGGGAGACTTGTCTCCAAGCGAGAAGGAGTTGTTTGAGGTGATCACTGCAGGTAAATCTCTGCGGCTAATGCTAATCCCTCTAGAACCCCACATTTTGAGTCAGCTCTTGTTAGCTTGTGTGCTTTATTACGTTGTTAATATTCATGAAATAATGTCACCTTAACAACTTGTTTTTTGGCGACTGCCCAACGACGTGGTTCATTTAAACATGTTCAACAAAACCGTTTTAATTAACTTATGCGTAGATTGTTCTTGCTAGGCTCGGATGTAGCGTTAGCTAATGCCAGCTAACTAGTTTACAATGTGATCACCACTGTGAACTTTACTCGTATTTTTCTCACTGTAGATTCATACAATTGGTTGTTTCGTAAGAGCAGCATTATGACAAGTTAAATAGTAAAACGTTAAATGATCTATTTGCTGAATAAACTGCAGTGAAGGCTCGTTTTTCATTCATTTATAATGAATCGTATGCACTTAGGAAACGTCCAAGAGGCTTCGAGGCTGCTGGGTTGCAAAGATGTTCGAGTTAACTGCCTGGATGAGGTAACGCAGCATTTCCAATCACGCTGGACGGATCGCACCACAAATGATGTGTTTGCTCACAGCAATCACAGGGAAACACTCGAGGCAAAAGGGAATCGTGGATCTCCGGCTTCCTCCCACAATGCTCATTAAATGTTTCCTATGAAAAGCAAATAGAAACACTGGGTATCTACGACACGTGGTAGGCAGTACTTGCTTAAAGTATAAACTCATTTCAGAGGGATGAGGTTGTTTATTGTTGCTATTTTCATGAGGGTAACAAAACACTACAGAAATGTAGTACGTTATGTTACAGTGGAACGTGTCACTGTGTCAATCGATTCTTAGCCACAACGTGAGCTTTCTTCTGTGTCTCGAATGTAGACATACAGGTGAGAGAACACGCTAAGACCCTTGAGCAAAGCTCCTCTTTTGTTCAGCGGCATGTGTGTGGGACAAGAGGACTGGCGAGTCAGCACCCTGACCGGCTTTGGAGGACGCCCTTCATGTCCTCCCTTGTCCCTTCTGTCACTCCTTTATGTCCGCCTGTCACAATCAGATGTCTCCAACAGATGATCTGTTAAGTAGAGTCTTTGGAGTTGTTGTTGTTCTTTTTCTGTTTTGCCTAAGAGGAGAAGTGTGCCATCATGTCGAGACATTTTGGAAAGATTTGAAAGAGAGTTACAAGTTACAAAAGACGGAATGCTAAAATAAAAAGGGTTGCTGTACAAAATACAACCTCAGTCGGAAGCATTTATATAATATCTTGAGCATGTAAACTGATTATGTTTGCGTTGATATTTGTTCTAAAACACATCCGACGCCACCACCCAATAAATTTGGAAATTAACGTTATCATATGAACTTTAATTGACTTTTAATTGCAGATTAATGACAAAAGGAAATCCCTTAATGCATGTAAATCCTTTTACGCATAACGGTCTTCACGAAGCCGACTAAATATTTAAACCTGACCGGTCTCTCAAATAAGAGAATGAAATATTGCTATAACAATTGAGTTTAAACTCCTTTTTATCATTATTTATTTTATTATATAAGGCGGTGACACTATCCTACATATTTGTAAAGATTTTTATTCAGTATTTTACAAAGACATTTCTATTCATGGTTAAACACTGTGACTGTTTGTGTAAATCAAAGTCGTTGTTTCTTCTCCGGCCCACAGAATGGGATGACCCCTCTCATGCATGCTGCTTACAAGGGAAAAGCCGACATGTGCAAGCTGCTGCTGCAACACGGAGCGGACGTGAACTGCAACCAACACGAGCACGGATACACAGCGCTGATGTTCGCCGGCCTGTCAGGTCGGAGTTCATCACCGCGGCAGCATGACGGCAACCCGAAAACGTAAAAGAAAGCCTCACCGTGTGTGTTTGTTGTGACTCCTCCGTCGCTGCAGGTAAGACCGACATCACGTGGATGATGCTGGACGCCGGGGCGGAGACGGACGTGGTCAACTCCGTGGGACGGACCGCCGCACAGATGGCCGCCTTCGTCGGTACGTCCGCGTGTGGCGTGTGAACGTGTGACAAACGAACGTCCACCCGTTGTTGATGAGGAGAAATAGGGAGCCGTCTCTTCTTCTCCCTCTGCAGGGCAACACGACTGTGTGACGGTGATCAACAACTTCTTCTCCCGGGCCCGACTGGATTACTACACCAGGCCGCAGGGTTTGGAGAAGGAACCCAAACTGCCGCCCAAACTGGCCGGACCCCTCCACAAGGTCATCATGAGCACCAACCTGAACCCCGTCAAGGTAGGACACCGCTGGACAGGGAGGGCTGCTTTTCTAGTGATTGTGGTGTAAATATAATAATACGAACAGTAGCAGCTTTATTCGGTGAACAATCGTCTGCTGCAGGGACCTTGATTGCAATTTAAAACCTCTTTTCCTGTGAAAAGTGGGTCATTTTTTAAAAAGTGATAAAAGGGGATACTTTGAAAATGCATGGTTGAAACAACATCACTAGGGGGGTTTTATTCGGAAAGGCTTGATTTCTTTTGTCTCAAACGGAGCTTGACGGGTGTCTCCCGGGTTCTGCAGATGGTGATGCTGGTCAAGGAGAACCCCCTGGTGGCCGAGGTGGAGGCCCTGGATAAGTGCCGACGGGTGATGGAGCTCATCTGTGAGAAGTGCATCAAGCAGCAGGACATGAACGAGGTGCTGGCCATGAAGATGCACTACATCAGCTGCGTGCTGGGGAAGTGCGCGTCCTTCCTCAGGGAGCGCGAGGACAAGCTGGACGGCCTCATTAAAAGGTCAGGCCCATGTCCACCATCCTGTCCTAGGGTGCTGATTTGCCTGTTTGGCTGTTATTTATCAGGCGTAAGCTCTGCAGAGCCCGAGCAGAGAGAGAAATTCTAGAGAGGTTGTGAAGTGATTCATAACCCCTCCCCCCCCACCCGTCCTGCAGCTTGCTGAAGGGTCGGGACAAAGACGGCTTCCCTGTGTACCAAGAGAAGTTTCTCCGCGAGTGCATCCGCAAGTTCCCTTACTGCGACGCCACCCTGCTGCAGCAGCTGGTGCGGAGCATCGCCCCCGTGGAGATCGTGAGTCCGGATGAGGGTCAATCCGGGTGTTGAGCTGCTCCGCGTCCCAGTAGTAGTAAACGTCCGGTCCTGTCGCCCGGTGCCTAACGCTCGCCCCTCGTCTGTCCCGTCCCCGCTCGCAGGGTAACGACCCCACGGCGCTGTCGGTGCTGACGCAGGCCATCACCGGCCAGGTGGGCTTCATGGACGCAGAGTTCTGCACCTCGTGTGGCGAGAAGGGAGCAGAGAAGAGATGCTCCGTTTGCAAGATGGTGAGCATCTGACGTCTCTTCTTCGTGTGTGTGAACGGTGTTTGGTTGTTGAATGCAACAGTTTAATTTTTTTTAACAAAGAAGGATTAAGACTTGTGTTGCTGGTTAACGATCTCTAGGAAACATGTGAGCTAAAGTGGTGCTTTTGCGTGACTTTTTGCAGATTTGTTGGAGGAAAACCTCAGTGACATAAAGTTTATTCACGTTTATTTTTAATTCTGTTTGCAAATACTAGGGTGGTGTTCCTTTCAGGATGAAACCCTGCAGTCACAACTTGTAATTGTTCCTCCTGTTTGAGATTTTGCAGTCCAACCTTATGAAGACAGGATGTTCAGACTAACGGCAGGAACAGAAGTGTCATCCACATTTTAGACAAAGGAAAGCTCTGTATTAAATGCGTCTCGAGCTTGAGGGAATGGAAGTTACTCATTAGATATGGGCGCAGATACAGAGAAGAGAGCTATGAAAAACAAAGAATTCACCTTATTAACATTTGTTGATGCCGGGAGACCTGAATGTGAAGCATAATGTGAGTTAGTGAATTTCTAAGATAAATCTTCTCTTTGTTTCCCCTTCTACCTGCTACTCTTTTTTTCAATGCCAGGTGATCTACTGCAACCAGGCCTGTCAGAAGATGCACTGGTTCGCCCACAAGAAGGTTTGCAAGACGCTGCAGGAGCAGAGAGAGGAGCAGGAGGCCGAGTCGGCCCAGATGAGGCTGCAGCAGAGCAAAGGTACTTTCACCCGTCCACAACGCCACGCGGGATGTAAAACATAGTCACGAATACACACACATATATATAATATATATAGTGGGTCGTCGTGGCGCAGGGGTTAGAGAAGGTGTGCTGGGAAGCACAAGGTTGGTGGTTTGAGTCCAGGCTGCCCCATGTTCCATGTCGAAGTGTCCCTGAGCAAGACACCTAACCCCTAATTGCTCCCCAGGCAAATAATGTGAATAAGCCATGGGTTTAAAGTGTAATGTAAGTCGCTTTGGATAAAAGCGTCTGCTAAATGACCTGTAATGTAATGTAATAATATATATATTATATATAGGACCGTATTTTTGTTTTATTAAATGGTCATTATTTGGATAGTCAGATCATTTGGAGAGTTTTCATAAAGGGCCCTAAAAGGAATCAGTTCTTTGTTGTTTTCTTTGTGGTATTTACTTGGTGAGGATTTAAAAAAAAGTACAACAGATTCATGATGAATCCCATGTGAACTAAAACGTATCAACATGAAACCTCCCCGCTTGACCGCTTACATTTAGACCGTTATTCTCCTGAAGTACAAGTTATGAGAATCTTTTCAGCACAACAACGTGGTAAAAACTGAACCGTGTCGTCTCTGTGCTTCAGAGGAGAGCGACGCCGCGCAGACGGCCACGGACTCCATGCGGGCGCTGTCGGTGGAGACCGGCGGTGAAGCCCCCACCACGCAAACCTCAAACCCCGCCCCCACCCAAGCCACCGAAAACTGAGCATAGAGGAGGGACCCATATTTATTACGCGACTGTCTCGGAGGCCGGGAGACGCTGAGGAGGAAGCTTCAGTGGCCATCTTTTCTTTCTTTTTTTTATTATATATATATATATATATATATAATGTGTGTGTATATGTATGTGAAAGTTGACGTGTTTGTGATTAGAGGGTTGTGGGAGGTGGGTCATGTGACAAGCTGATGGTTCACACCCCTGATGGAATGTGATTTTTGCCTTAAACTGTAAGAGACCTGTGCAGCCAATCAGAGCAGTGCTTTCTTTACCTACTTGATTTGTTATTGGGATTTTTTTTTTTTTTTTTTGTACCAATAATTTCATAGCAGATTGTGAGCAGATGGCTGGGCCGCACAATATTGACCAAACTTGTATATTTTTTAAATATAAACAAAATAAACATTGAATTACTGTTTCCAGGGTTCCTAGTTTCTTTTAATCATGTTGTTTTTTAATCTATCCTGATCTGTGTTGTCAGTACGACATGAGGTGTGATTAGAGACTGTTTTGTGGATACAAGAGGCTCATTCTCTGCTCGCCGTAACCATCGTCTTCTCAGCCGGTCGCCCGTCTGCCGAAGGCCACGGACTGAAGGACGCGGTGGCGCTCCCGGTTGAACATCTGGAAGCTCCGCCTCCTCTCCGCCGACTCCACCCCTGGCGGCGTGACACACGCGACAGTCGGACAAATGGAACGCGCCGCAGGTGGTTTCCCGACGCGTGTCCCGGAGATCTCACCTTCCCCATCCAACACCTGGATGGAAGGCAAGCGGTGGATCACATGCAGCCGATACTCCGCTTCGTGGGAGATGGGATTTAGGAAAAAAGCTGCAAAGCATTTGAGTCAATAGTCAGATTTTTTTTTTTTTCTCTGTGTAATCTCGTGTGCATCAGTTGACTTTTGAAGCACTGACACGGCCCACGTGTGTTGTGTCTCATCACTCACTGGCAGTGTGGAGCTGCTGCATCCTCCTGAGCTCCTTGGTGGTGTCCTCCAGCCCTCTGAGCCGGTTGTTGTGCAGAAGGAGAACTCTGAGGCAGGTCAGGTGTTTTAAGGCCCCTGTGTGAGAGACCGGAAGGGGTCAATTCAGAGGGTCGTCTTTTGTTTCAATGTGTATCTGTACAAGTGCTTTGTATCTTTGACTGGAATCTCAAACATGCACGAGAGTCTTTTCTCCCAAAAGCACATTTAAAACGGTCTGAACAGTAAATTTGCAACAATGAAATACAAACTCACCAGAAATAGACGGGATGTTATTGTTTTGGAGGTAGAGTTCAGTCAAGCAGCAGTTGAGGGAACGACCGCTGAGCTCGCTGATCTAAATGAAATCAAAATGAAAGAAAAGTCCCGCTCAGGTTCAACTAAAGACAATCAATGGAAGTTTACCGTGTTGTTATTGAGCCACAACTCCCTCAGAAAGTGAAACCTCGACAGGTCAGGGAGCCTGGTGAGTTTTCTGTTCAACAAAATGGCAAACCTGTCAATCATCTTTGAATCATTTTCTCAGAGTATCACAGATACGTTTGTTTTAAATGCATCAACGCTCTTACTTTTTGGAAAGGTTGAGTTGGTCAACGTCAACGTCCCTCCTTCCTGCAGCCGGCTGAGACTCCTTTATGTCCTGTATTTACGGTGAGGGGAGAAGAAATCACTTATTAGAAAAGGGGCCGAAGCTACGTTCTAGTGCCTTTTTTTATTTATTTTTTTGGACGGCCAATCTTTCTACCTCCACCTTTTCCATTGTCAGGGGCCTTTGGGAATTTCACACCTGTTGCCAGGTAACCTGGTGCTTGAAATCACAACAAAAAACTCATTCTAGTCATTTATTTCAATAACATACAGTTTTTTTTATGCATTCTTTATTCATTCCATGTCTGTTAATTCCATTGTTGTTCATTTCCAGTAGAGGGCAATGTTTTACCACACTTAATAGTCAAATGAAGTCGGTTTAGTTGAATTTGCAGTTTTGTTTATTCACATTGTGGTTCCTAATAAATGACTCACAACTATTTTGCTTTATCTTCACAGTCTGCATGTTCACTGAAGCACTGAATATACTTTAATTTGATTTTACTTTGAGTTTGGGAAACATGTATAATGTTAAAATAGTTTTGTTCCGCAACTTGTACTCTTATACAGTGTTACCACTTTGAGTTCAAGTTATTGGCAAATAGACTTCATCCCGCTCTGTGCAAGAGCAATATGAGAAAATACTACTCTGATGTCTGAGAATGGAAACGAAAGTAGCAAGTACCTCAGAATAAAGACTGGAACCTTGGAAACAGAACAACTTTACACTTCAAGGTATTTCTCTCCATCCACAAACCTCTGCAACATCTGGAGGAGCAAGTCAATTTGCACATATGCCCGTATTTATTTATGGTTCACTCTTGACCGTGAAACCTTCTAACAAGTAACAAGCATTCAAAATACCTTTCAGATGCAGTGTGTAGATTTGGTATCTGGTTATTAGCATTTGCTAATGCTAATTAGCTTCCAGCACTTGGGAATGATGATGGTAAAAGTACCACTGTGCAGTGAAATCACTCTAAAGGAGACGCGCCCCCCCCCCCACCCCCCCCTCCTCCCCCCCGTGAGCGCTTCCTGATCATGCATGAGACCCCCCCCTCCCTCCACCCTGCTTGTCAATATGGCTATTAACCCGGCCTCCCTTCATTTCCCATGAGGGTTGTGGGGCTACCGAGTTCCTGCTGCAGGGTCTGGCTGCTCCCGAGGGCACGAGGGAGGGAAGGGGTCTCATGGGAAGCGCGGAGTCAAAGTATCACCACTGGTCTTCTGAGAGGAGCTGCCCATGTTGCCGTTTTATTTATTTTTTTGTTCGGAAGTGCAGTGAATGAGCCTTTGGTCCTCCTGTTTGAGGACAAACAAAAGGGAGGAAGCAATAACAGAAGGTGTGAGGTTTAATGACAGACTGGCTTCAACCGCTGGGGAGTTTTAAACCACCTGAGTCGGGAATTACATTTATTAAAGGTTCTGCAAATGATATTCAGTGAAAGATACTATTTGCTATTTAAATAGAATGGAGTAATGTCTACCTGCAGAGAATAAAGTTTCCCTGTTTGTCTGGTTACCACAGCTTCACATGCACGTTAGTGCACGTGAGTGGGCCAGACTCGCTCACTTATATGCAGGTTCTGTAGCAGAGGTGAAGCTTCTGGTACCCACACCAGCGTGACACGGTGAGCTCAGTCAGCCATTCGGTCATTCCCACTTTCCCTTCTTGCTTATCTTATTCATTACCTCCTTTCTTTCACACCCTCTTAAACACATTTCTGTCCTTGTTTCCTAAATGATTTCTTACCTTCATTCCTCATATGAAATCCATGAAATACCCCAAATTGCAGGTACGATATTTCAAAATGAACTAAACTCTGCTTTTGCTTAACATGTCTACTTTAACGCAGTTGACAAAATGTTGGTGTCCCTTTGGTAAACCTTCGCCGTTGTGTGTGTTTAATGTTTCCCCCCCCCCCCCCCCCCCCCCCCCCCCCGGGGAAGGAATACTTGTTCTCGGGCCTCCTCCCTTTCTTCCTCCTGAAATGAGACCACAGCCTTAAAAAAACATACAAAACCCCCCAAAAGCTGCTCCTTAGATAATAAAAGTGATATCATCTTTCATTCACATAAGCAACAATTAGTGTGGCTGCACGCCGCCGCTTCTCAAATCAGCGAGACGAGTCTGGAATGAACGTCCCCCACAGAAGTAATTACGCCTCGCCTTGTTTTGGTACCGCGGCAACTCACAGACTCCAGTGAGTCTGAGGTGGAATCAGAAGAGGTGGAGCTCACGGTGATGGAGACGGCAGGCAGAGGGTCGATAGTAGACAATGTCAGCTTTCATTCACCAATCAAACCAGGGGGGGGGGGTATCCAACATGAAAGGCAAGTCTTAAATCATCAGTGTGCGATTAATGCTCCGTCACCACTGATTACTGAGCGTCGAATTATGTCTGCCATAATGTTACCGTGGCAACACAACAGGTGTCAGTGAGCTCAGACTTTTAACAGAGGAAATTCAGCAGACGCGTCTCAGTAATTGATCGCATCAGTTCTCCTGCACGCACGGTGCATTTTTGTTTCGGCTTATTGAAAGGAAGTAACATTATGATGAATTGCAGCACGTTAAGGTTTAGTCAGAAATGGAACAGTCTCTATTTGATCCATCCGTCTTAATTACAACATGAATGGACCGATCTTCTCTCACAGTGAAAAGTTGTTTTGAGCAATCAAAGCACATTTGGACAAAGCAGCATTTGCTCTCCTGCATGTGATCACAGAGGTATGCAGGCCAAATTTCAACGACAATGTTGAATATGCAAAAACTAAATGATCATTGTCTCAAGCAGAAAAGCTAATCAAACTCCTCACTGGCTTTTCATGGCGCTGCATGAGTAACAGTGGAAACACTTTCACACATCTCACAGCAGCTGGAGCGCGGAACCCTTAATGACACAAATGAAGGCAGAGATTCAAACCAAGCCGGAACGTTCTGCTCTCAGCAGCTTCTCGGGATTTTGTGTCTGATGATGAAGGACGAGGAGAAGCTGCAGCAGCAGCGAGCAACAGACCAAACTCTGAAGGGGAGAAGAGAAGAAGGTCCAAAAAATGAAACGGGAGAACAGCAGGAGTCACTGAAAGCACCACACAACCACATTGGTTGATTTGCAATCAAAAGATCTGCTTTCAGGACACTTTTTGAAAACTTTTGATTTCAAACACGTACTTTCTCGCTTTGACTTGATCTATTGTGACCCAATGAATGTGAAACACTGTTTCGTTCAGCTGCTGAATTAAGGTCTGGAATATTTCTAAATGAATGTCTCCTTATCTGCAGTCTAGAAAACTTGTTATATTTTAAATATTTCCTGAAAAAGATTCAGAATTTTACAGAACAAAAAGAATGAAGCTTCCTTTTTTTGCCTCCGTTTTAGCATTTTCTTCCAGACAAAATCTGATATTCTATAAATATGTCAAAACACATGTGATTTACTCATGCACATAATCCCATCACCATCACGATTGGCCTCCTCTGACGAACGTCTGAGATGAACGCAGTGGGCGCGGTTTATTTACGAGCGCAACATTCACGTCAACCAATCACAGCCTCCCAGGAGAGACGCACCTGAGTCGCTGCCAAAGCGCGTCGGTATAAAAGCCCCGGGTCCCCTCCGTTCTTCATCCAGCATCAGTCTTCCTTCCAGTCGGACCCTTACGTCTCTCCAACCATGCACCTGAGCGCGTGCGAGTCGTGCCACTACCTGCTGGTGCTCTGCGTCCTCCTGAGGAGCTGCCGAGCCTTCCGGAACGATGCCACGGAGCTGCTGTATTCGCGCGTAACCGAGCCGCCGGCGCCGCCGGAGGTGCAGAGCAACGTGACCCTGAACCGTGCGCGGAACGGCGGGAGAGGAGCGGCCGGCGGCGCGCACGACAGAGGAGGTGAGGACCGCAGGAGGCTGTGGCCTGTTTGTGCGATAAGATGCTTGTTTCTAGGCTTTTCTTTTTGTCCTGTTATTTTCCTGTTATTTGTAACCTGCAATTGGCGAGGCACAGACATCTGAATATTGTCTCTAGTCAAATCTCTTACTTTTAGATATTAATAGAGTAGTCACAGATGTAGAAAACATAACTAACAAGCGGCTCCATTTCACCGTCATCTTTTGACTTTATTTTGATTACTTTATTTTAAGGATGCATGCAACCACGAGATCTTGATGAAGCTTGTTTTTTTTCGGTATTTAATCTCGAAGAACGGAATGAGAGGCTCCTTTAATCACACGCGTAATTCCATCACCATCCCGCCATCATTAACATTCCCTTCAAAAGTGATTGCAGAGAACACGCCTCCAACCACTTGAATAGAAAAGTTGGTGTTTATCACACGAACCCAGCATGCTGTTGGCAGAGAGCTGAGGCAGACTTGCGTCAAGACGCAGACGCATGCGCCAGCCTTCAGTGCAACACACAGGAGGATGCAGAGGAATGAAGGTTATCTCATGACGGTTGTCTCTGAGCTCTGTTTACCAAAAGGCGGCAGTGAGGGATGAGGCGGGAGGGGGGGGGGGGTCATTCATCAAACACTGTCACTGAGCTGTGTGCAGCCCGTATATGAATGGACCTGAGCTTGGGTTACAGTGGCCAGCGGCGGGTAGGGAGGGGGGGGGGGGGTTCAGACATAGTCCCTTCCACACGATAAAAAAAAAAAATTGAGTTTTTAAAATGTTGATCTCGGTCTTTCCACAGAGCGAGGACAGATTGGCTGCAGAGAGCTGAGGTCCACCAAGTACATCTCCGACGGCCACTGCACCAGCATCAACCCCATCAAGGAGCTGGTGTGCGCCGGCGAGTGCCTCCCGGCCCAGATGCTCCAAAACTGGATCGGCGGCGCGTACGGCCGGAAGCGGTGGGCTCGCCGGGGCGGCGGCCAGGACTGGCGGTGCGTCAACGACAAGACCCGCACGCAGCGCATCCAGCTGCAGTGCCTGGACGGCACCGCGAGGACCTACAAGATCACCGTGGTCACCTCGTGCAAGTGCAAGAGGTACTCGAGCCAGCACAACGAGTCGGGCAACAAGTTCGGGGAGGCGGCCCTGTCGCCGCCGCAGATCCTGCAGAGGCACAAGTCCAAGAGCAAGAGGAGGCCGGGGAAGAACCGGCTGAGCGAGAACTGGCACGACAGCGAACCGTGAGACCCGCCCCGTGAGTCCACACGCACCGCGCGGGAGTTTTGTCCTCGGCGGTGTGCGAGACACGACGTCGGAGAGCTGGCGGATTATCTTCTCAGAGTGACTGGGGCGGGATTCGGGAGAAGCTGGTCCCCTTCGCCGTGATGGAGAGCTGCGGGGGGACCGCTGAGAACCTTTTGTGGGTGAAAGAGAATGTGAACTGAACCGAGGTCCAAAGCCCTCTCGAGTCCAGAGCCGAGACACACCTTCCTCATATATGTTCCCATATAATCATTTTGTATACAGATGGACATCTCCAGGCACCAACACTAGTAAACACCAAACAAATATTTGTGTAAATACTTTGTACATATATCAACATTTCTCACTTGCCTTTTTTAAGTATGTGTGCAAAATATTACTATGTAAGATTTATGATTCATTTCGATGTAATATATTTTCCTTGGCAACATATGATATGTTGGTTGGTAAGAGGCCTCAGCATGTTGGTGAAATATGGAAAAAAGATTTGTCATCAATCAGTGTTGTAATAACTATATGAAATAAATATAACCTTTTATCACATATTGTTGTCAGTGGAGACATTTCCTCATTTGGTTCGCCATGAAAATGAACCAAAAGTTTAATTGGAGCGGACATAAAAACTTTATTCAAATCATGTAATATCAAAGTTCTAATGTTGGCTAAGAGAAAGTGAAAACGTTACTACTTAATTTTTCCAAATAATGCCTAAGTATTCATGTGTATGTACTATTTGTTCAGGCTACATTTTGTACTCAAAAATGTTTAATGCAAGGATAGTTTTCCAATGACAAGAATGATATAGTTGTATGTTCTAGTTCTTTTTTTTTCTTCATCAAAAGATAGATCACCTGAAATCACAAGATTATTTAGACCTGTGAAAGCTGCTACAGCAGAAAGCCGATAGCAGCTGTCACTTTATTATGGCCGGAAATGAAATAATTTCACCTGTAAAATAAAAGTTTAAAAACAAATTATGCAAATTCTAAATGTTATTTTAATCTGCTTCTTCAGTCCTTTCAGAACGTGACATTTGATCAACTGGTTCCACTATTATTACATTTTTATGGGTATAGGTTGTCTACCATATCTGGTTCAGATTTTAAGAATCTTCTGGCATTCAATCGGATGTAACGTTAGAATTTAAATGTACTGTGTTGAAAGCATTACAGCCTGAGGACCTAGTACTGCTATTTGCTATGGAGTTTCACAACTACGACATTTTAAACTGTCTGTAAGGTTCCTCACTTCGACGAATAAAATGAAAGACAAACGGCCTAGACTTTGGTTCTTTTATTTTGAAAGCATCCACCGGAAAAACACCATTCAACAGCTTGACAGCGCTGTTTTCACAAATTTCCATCCACGTTTCCGCTACATTCCCACCCCGCCCATCGGCTGGACGGTGGACGGTTTTTGGGAATCACCTTTCCGTGACCCCCCCCCCCCCCCACCTGGACCCCCAGCTGCCCCCCGATGGAGGGCAACCACGCCACCACGCAGAGCGGCTGTGGCGATCCGGACAGGCCCGCTCATCCTGGGGGTTTCCCGAACCGCGACGCCGGAAAGGGCGACCCCCAGCCGGCGGGACGCGACGTGGACTTCCCGGTGTCTGTGGTTCTTCCCGCCGGCGGCACCGGGGAGAGAACGGGACTGCAGACACCCAAACAGTTCTGCTCGTTTCTGGGTCGGCCGCTCATAAGCTACACTATCCAGGCTTTCGAGAGGTGGGAGAATCACAAAAAATACAACGAGACTAAAATGTCATGAACCGTTATTGTGTGCAACATGTCCACGTGACTCCCAGGTTTCACACATTAGTGACTTCACTTCCACTAATGTCCAGTTATCAATCACATCGGTAGTAGTAAAAAGTATAGATCTAATGGATCCAACTTCTCAATTGAAAGAAGCTTAAAATGTTTTTATTGATTTTTATTTCTAATCATTTTAAAGAGATTTTTTTCACATGAAAACTCAAGTTTGGTGGAAACAGTTTCGGAAAGTTTTAAAAACCTTTTGAAATGTGTGTTGGAGGAAATGATCTGCCTTTGTCTGAAGCATAATGATGCTTTAACTCAATGAGCAAGTATCTCTTTGGATTATCAAGACAAACCGTCTCAAATTAGATTAGATTAGATTAATTCCACTTAATTGTCATTGCACATGTACAAGTACAGAGCAACGAAAGTGCAGTTTGGCATCCAACCAGAAGTGCAACAGAATAATAAAATCATAACAAATAACAGTATATACGGATTAATAACAAATAAAGTGCTATACAGAGGGTGGCTTATGCTTACCTGGTACTATTTGGTAATAAATTAGGCAAAAAAGTAGACTGATGAAATTCACCTTAAATAATGCGGAGATATAAACAAAAACTCTAGGGTTGCTAAACTGGTGCAAATATTCAGTGCATATTGACTTGACAGTGCAAACAAATGGTATAAAGTGTCTTCGGTGCATCAAAATCAAATGCTTGACAAATGTAATGTTCTTGAACATATTGATACACAAATAATATTAAATTAAATTTACCCTTTAACATGTACAAAAACCTGTCTACCGCTATCTGCACCCCTGGAAGTGTGGTTTTGACAGCAGCTGCTGCTAAAGAATGTGATTCTTTCCTCCGCCACTGGGGGGGATAGAGAGACCTCAGGCTCCACACCAGGGCGGAGAAGGTGGATGTTTACACTGTGTGGTGATCACCGCCTGACCCTCATTACAACAACGCAATAACAACCGGTGTTTATAATCCGACGTGTGTCCTCTCGGCGTGTTCTCCGTGTTTACAGTAACATCCTGGGACCGCAGGGCGGGGCGGAGAAGCTGCCTGTGTGGCCCCGGTGATCAGAGAGAGGTCGAAGGTCGTCCGTGTCGGTCATGAACTTGAACTAATGTGTTTCAGTCACATCCACAATCCGACTGTGGTCGATCATTAGTGGGGATGCTCGGCCTTGGAATGTTTTTCCGGATGCGTTTTCATGTTACTGGGACTTTGCACAATTTTAAAGTGCCTTATAACTTGAAAATCATATATTTTATCCCGATGCGGAATATATTTGCAGATTATTAATCATTTTGAGAATTTGTTAAAGGGCTGTCAAAATCACCACTGTTTTTTTTATTGTAACTGTTTCATGTCTCTGAATAACAATTCGTTTACTTTGAACCCCGCAGGGTGTCGTGGATCCAGAGCATCGTGGTCGTTGTAGCCCGAGAAAACACGGACCTGATGGCGGACATCGTCCGGCGCTTCCGGCACAGGAAGGTTCGAGCGGTGCCGGGCGGCTCGACTCGTCACCGGTCGATACGGAACGGGATCCTCGCTTTAGGGGAGGAAGGGGGGGAGAGGCCGGCGGCGGGGAGGCCGAAGGTGGTCCTCATCCACGACGCCGTGCGGCCTTTTGTGGACGAGGACTTCCTGTACGAGATCGCCACGGCTGCCAAGGAGCACGGGGTCAGTATGATGAACGCTATTCTACCCGAAACACACAAATACCCTCAATGTGAAATCCCTCCCAACTGGTTCCCATCTATTCTGACGCAGCGTTTTACATACGCAAACAAACGTCTCGCCCCAAATGGAGGACGATTTGCTCCAGTTATTTCCTACTGAACCGGTCTGTTCAGAGCTGCAGTGATCTATGATGATCCTGGAGAACACCGTGGAAGTGGAGCCTGAGCTCACAAAGCTGAGTGAATGTCAGTAAACTGTCATTATTCGACTCGTCTCCGCGGCTGGTTTGCAGCTGCGACGGGGAGGTGGCGTAACCTCGGTGGCGACCATCAGTGTTTCCAGTCGCTGGCGGAGGCGGGACGCGTCTTGCTTTTTGAGAGAGCAGCGGATCGCGACCTCCCTGCCGAATGCCAGAGGCTCCTCGAGCCGCCGCCGCCGCCGCACGAGTAATTAAATCTCCAGTGTGGCTCAGACTCCGGCCCCCACAAACACCCACCCCCCCCCTCTCCCCTGGCTCCCTCCCTGAAGTTAATTGGAAACACTCGGCCGCAGTTACAGGAATCGAACCTTTCACCTGGCGGGGCGACGGTGTTACGACGGAGCTCGCTGACAGGACGGCGCTCTGTGAAATAAACCCTCACGGCAGGCGGTTCCGCTCTGCGTTATCCCGCCGGGGGGGAGTGTGGGGGGGGGCCCCGACTCCCTCCGCCCGAAAAAAAACCCAGCGGAGGGTGGTTCTTTTGATTTTCAACCGCACGTTGCGATGCACGTGTTTGCTTTGCTACGATTTTTCCTCTCGCACGCGCCGGTCGAAGCTGTGGTCGAACTATAATCTCAGAAATGGTGATTATTTGGGATTTGCAAGAAGCACAAGCGGTGCGTGCTCCGGCTGCATGGTTGGGATTTATGCTCCTTTGTAATGTGGCGGCGGTCTTGATGTACGATCAGGGGGGGGGGACGTTCTCTCTTTGAAATGGGCACTTGTGGTTGCACGGATATCAAGCACATTTGAGAAGGAAAACAGTAACTGAAAGTCCAGTTTTTTTCCAGCTTCCCACAGCGTTTTTTGATCCCTGTGTGTGTGTTTCATGATTATGTCTTATTACACGGGGATGAAAGTTGTTACTGGAGGTTTAGCCTTCCACGAAACATTTTTGTTTATTTTTACCTACAATGAAAATGTACGAAGCGTCTCGGTTACTCATCCAATCGGTTTGGTCAGATTTCATTCGTCTGACTCATTTCCAGTGCAGAGCCCGTCTAGCGGTGTAACTTCTACCGATTATTGCGCTCGAGACGAATGCTAACAACTTCTTTCTTTGTCGACCCAGGCGGCGGGGGCCATCCGGCCTCTCGTTTCCACGGTGATAGCCACCACACCTGAGGGCTACCTGGACCACTCTCTGGAGCGGGGCAAGTACCGAGCCAGCGAGATGCCTCAGGGATTCACATATGACGTCATCCATCGAGCCTATCAGCGGGTAGAGACCGTTTCTTTTCCGCTTCCTTCAGCGGCTGCTCGGTTGCCAATGTGGGGTAGGCGGGCGGTGACGACGACAAGCATCAACAAACAAAGCGTGTGAGGATGAAGACGAGGGTCGTCACGGTTACGGCTTCCCACAATTAGAGGAGGATGAGTCAAATCACATCAATTGTCTCCACCTGGGAGCGATCGAAATGTTTTGGCTTGACTTTTGTGGAGAAAATGGAGCAGCTGCAGCCCGGAGTAAAAGGTTATGAACTGTAGAGCAGACGGGCAAAAGAAAAACGATTCCAGGGGAAGAATAACCTTTCGTGTGCGTGCTGCTGTTTGCTCAACTGGTTTTCTGGATAAGAAGCTCTTTGTAAAAGTTCATATTTTATTGCTGGGTTAGAGAGCAAAGCTTTACCATCTGTCACGCTCAGTATTCCCAACGTCCGGGTCAAAGGTCAGCCCGACCGACACAGGCGGATCGAGCTGAAGTCCAGAGTTCTTCCATATTTAAGTCCTACTCCTGCTATCTTAGTGGAAACCACACATGGCATCAGGCGATTAGCGATTACTCCTGGAAAAACAACGTATAAAACGACAGCCGGGTGGAGATCTAAGCTCTGAAAGTGGGTGATGCTCGTCGATCCCAGCGGGCCTCCCACAGTCCTCCCATTGAGAGCGTGTTCCCCGTCTCGCCACCTCTTCAAAAGCTGAGGGAAAGTGTCAGGTTGGGACTGGGACATTTGCGAGTTCATGGCTTGGCGTCCATTGAGGGTAGGAGAAGACAATGTGGGGGAAGGGGGACAGTGTGGGGAGGGCGGAGGGGGACACTGTATCCCCTCCCCAGTGAAAGCTTTTGTACCTGGAGAAAATGCTCAAGGTTCAATTACAACTTGTTACTGCTGAGACTTCTCTCCTCATTTTCCATGGAATGAAAGACCCCCCCCCTCTCTTATAGTGGGATAGAATATTACCCAGGTTTGGGTCATTTTTCTTTGTAGTATTTTACTGTATTTCAAACTCAACAAGCTCATCGCATCATTCCAAACTTCTATGAGATCCACGAAACAGCCCTTAAAGTAGGAATAAAATTAAACTAAATGCATTTAGCAGGTCTATTCTTAAAACGTTTGCAAACACATTAAAATATAAATACTTTTATTAGGTGATCAGCCAATGTTGTGTTTGAAGGCTTGTACGGCTGACGTTCAAGAAAACCAATAAATTCATCTCTAAGTGAATTTGTCATTAAAACGAGTCAGGAAAGTGTGAAGGAGGATAATCTCGACAGCAGTTGGTTCTCATCTCTGATGTTGCTACAGACAGATTTTGGAGGCCAC